AAGTAGCTATTCTGTCATTATTGTCATATGTCATCATTTTGTTGTCTTACATAACAATCCTTTCCAAACTTGAGATCCCCCTCACAAATTACTAAATATGCTGACTTCCTTGGGTGTATCTTTTCTTCCACCGGGAGATCTGCCTTTCTAATATATGAGAATTACAAGTCACTCTTGCTGGGGATAATAAAAAAAAAAAAGTAAAGGGCGGGAACCAAGAAGGAAAACAAACAATAGAACATGCACAGTTTTTATAAAGAAGACTTAGGAAAGAGTAAAGGAGTAAAGGAAAAGAGGCTCAGACCTTAGAAATAAACTCCCACATCCCTCAGTAGAGAGAGCTGAAAGTCATATATAATAGGCACTGAAAGCCTATGTTTTGACATGAATTAACTACAGGCAAAACCACCATCATATAGCTATATGTACTGAGGAAGGCTAGACTGTTAAGTGTCACGTATATACGATCTCAATGGAGCCTCAGGAAGCTAATCAACAACTTCAAATCACAAAATCAGAAAAGTGTTGAAGATTTAGAGGAAGAATAGAAAGGAAAAAAATACATGCCTCTGAGTTGTGTATTATCTGTCAGCAGAGCAAAACCAATGTGTAAGCCCATTATTATTATTTTTCTTTTCTTTTGAGACAGAGTCTCACTCTGTCGCCCAGGCTTGAGTGCAGTTGCATGATCTCGGCTCACTGTAACCTCCGCCTCCCAGGTTGAAGCAATTCTCCTTCCTCAGCCTCCCAAGTAGCTGGGATTACAGGCGCTCGCCACAATGCCCGGCTAATTTTGCATTTTTAGTACAGACAGGGTTTCACCATGTTGGCCAGGCTGGTCTCAAACTCCTGACCTCAAGTGATCCACCCACCTCAGCCTCCCAAAGGGCTGGGATTACAGGCTTGAGCCACCGTGCCTGGCCTGTATTTTTTTAATATAATAATGTCTCACTGAAATTAAAGTAATAGGGGAGAGTCTGAAGTTTTCACAGATAGAGAGAGTGCTGTACTCAAATTTACTACAAATTCAGTAATAGTAAATGTTAAATACATATGTATTTATATAGTCTTTCACAGACTTATGAACTATCTCAAATTCACTAATCCTATTTTTTAAATAAAGTTTTAAGTTTCAACCACTTGTATCACCAGAATTTTGAGGCTTAACTCCTATGGCTAAGAGATTTCCAGCCAGGCGCGGTGGCTCACCCCTGAAATCCCAACACTTTGGGAGGCCAAGACAGGCCGTGATCTCCTGATCATGAGGTCAGGAGATGGAGAGCATCCTGGCTAACACGGTGAAACCCTGTCTCTACTAAAAAAATACAAAAAATTAGCTGGGAGTGGTGGCGGGCACCTGTAGTCCCAGCTACTCGGGAGGCTGAGGCAGGAGAATGGCGTGAACCCAGGAGGCAGAGCTTGCAGTGAGCAGAGACGGTGTCATTGCATTCCAGCCTGGGCGACAGAGCAAGACTCCATCTCAAAAAAAAAAAGAGATTTCCAAGCTGTGTTCACACCTGTAGTCCCAGCTACTCTGAAGGCTAAGGTGGGAGGACCACATGAGCCCAGGAGTTCCAGACTGCAAGACCTCTCTGCTAAAAAAAAAAAAAAAAAAAAAAAAAGTAAGAAGAGAATTCCGTAAATTACTTGGCTTCTTATATTCTGTCTCTTTAGCGAAACACTATGTCATTCAAGGCTAAAACTTATGTCTTTTATTTGAGACAGAGTCTTACTCCATCGCCCAGGCTGGAGTGCAATGGTGCAATCTCAGTTCACTGCAACCTCCACCTCCCAGGTTCAAGCAATTCTCCTGCCTTAGCCTCCCAAGTAGCTGGGATTACAGGCGCCTGCCACTGCTCCCAGCTAAGTTTTTTTATTTTTAGTAGAGACAGGGTTTCGCCATGTTGGCCAGGCTGGTCTCGAACTCCTGACCTCAGGTGATCCACCCGCCTCAGCCTCTGTGTTGGGATTACAGGCGTGAGCCACCGCGCTCAGCCTAAAACTTAAGTCTTTTACCACTGTAAGTCACCAGTACTACTTCAGCATTACTTATACCCTACATAGAGATGTTCAATAAATGTGTGATGATTTAGCAATTAATGAGAAAGCAGGTAATATATGTGTCAAGACATTACTCTAAATATTATTATAAGTAGGTTTATGAGTATGGAAAAGACCCACCCTCAAGGAGCCTGTAATCTTTTCTTTTATGTCATACTGCAGTTGTCTATGCCATAATTCTGGGAGATAATTTTGGTTTTTTCTTCAGAGTGAGGTCAAGGAAACAGAACATAAAATAGTTATGGATGCTGTTTAACAACAGGCATTTCTAAACTACTTGAGATTTTCTCTACACTTTAACAGAAATGAAAAAAATCTTCTCTCTAAAGATTATACGAACCGATCTATCCCCAGATATGTTTATGAAAGGGGTAGTGATTACAGAGTAACAACACTCTTAAATGGGCATCAGTACTAAATACATTGTTTATTAATTGGAAAGAAATAGGATTACAGCATTAGTGGATCAAGGAAATAAAACAGAATATATATGTGAGTATTTGTAACAGTTTATAAGAGTCAAGTAAATTAATTTTCAAAAATGCAGAATTTAATTCTACTTGGCTAAAACAAAAACACAAATCCGAGGTTCTACTTTCTCATCACCATCATTTACCAAACATGGCACAGTTCGATTTCTTCTCCAAATCCAGCACCTAATTCATGTTTTTCCCAACCTACCCACATTGTGCCATCAACTGCAGCATGTCTGTAGATTCTCTAGTGCAAATAGAAAGCAGCAGGGAGCTGTTTCAAAGGAAAGATAATAAGCTTTTTTTCAGCTTATTAAGCTTTCTTCTCAGTATGTTAAATGTGAAACAGTAAGATACCCAAACGGAAATACTCAGTAGGTGTACAGGAGAAACTGAAATCAACAAAATGGTTAAGGAGACGATAATTTGATGACCATAAATAGAGAAGTGATTAATGAAACTAGATATGATCTCAGGAAAAGGTAATTTAGAGAAAGAATAAACTAAATGCTTATTTTGGCCTTCTATAGTGTTACGCCTAACCCAAGATCATTTTGTTTCTGTCATCTTGCTCCAAGCTGACAAGTATTACTGGATAAAGTTATGGAATCCTTCAAAGTGAGTTCATTACAAGTTCATATTTTAATTTTGACTGAACACTACTTCTAAACAATCCTTTATTCTCTTATTGTTGATTCACTAGAGTGCAATGATTTCCAACTTAACAGCCTTCAGCCTCCTGGGAAACTGTAGAATTAGTTACCTTAATGGGTACATACAGCAATGCATTATAAATACTATTTCTCACATATCAATGTTGTGGTTAATAAAATACAAAGTCATCTAAGAGTAGTAGCTTCTTTCTAATATGCATTTTCTCAATTGAATACTAAAATCATAACTACAACCATGGGTGGTCCACAAATTGTTTCGAAGTTAAACAGGTTGTCATCTTCAAAATACTGGTAACCACTGCCTGAAAGTATTCCCCACAGCACTTAAACATCCTTTCCACATTCTAAGCTTCCAATTATACCCCACCCTCTCTTACTTCTGCTTTCATTTTCCCAAGAAAATCAAACACATCCTCATATGTTCTCTCATCTACCTCAATCCATCTGAATTTATTCTTTCTCCTCTACCTCTATAAATATTTGATGATTTAGCAATTACTAGTGTGTCTCTTCCTTTTTAGGAATAATTCAACAACACATACACCTGATCCTATCTCTAACCTGGCCCCCAACCCAATCCATCAAACAGGTTGAGTCTCTCCTTCTTCACAAGTTCCTTTCTTTCTACCTAAAAACATTATCAGAGCTCACCTATATGGAAAAAACTTTGTGATTCTGTTCTATGTCCTAACTACTATTCTCTCTTTTCGTTTTGCTGTCAAGTTCTCAGGGTTTGCAAACTACAGTCTGAGCCAGTCACCTGTTTATTTATATAGGGTTTTATTGAGAACAGCCACCCCCATTTCTATAGGTATTATTTAAGGCTGCTTTCCCACAAGGGCTAAGTTGAGTAGTTAAGATTATCATGTGGCTTGGAATCCTAAAATATTTTCTATCTGGCTTCTTAAAAAGACATTTGCCAATCCCAGGGGCTTCAAGCACAATTTACATTCAATGTCATCATTTCTGGGGAAGCCACTAAAAATTTTGGGGCAGCAATAAAGTACTATGAGTAAAAGAGCATTTCAATACCAGTTTTAACAACAGTGTACAGGGTCGATATAAAAGAAGACTACTTTGGAAACTAGTGCAAGAGACTGAGCATTAGCCATAAAGGGAGGGAAACGAAAAGAAGGAACTTCTTGAAGGCATAAGCATTAAGACTAGATGACTACACGTCACAGAGGCAAAACTAACACCAAAATTTTAATCCTTGATGACGCAGCTCTCAAAATTCGCATTCTCTCCTATAATCTGCCCTAGACTTACAGATCTTCATATTTTCCTGTCTTTCTGACTGTGGAGTACCTAAAATCCTAATCCTAACACTAATTCCATATATTCTGTGTGCCAGACATTCCCTATGCTTGCCGTCTAACTCCTGGGTAAGCAAATCCCATACGAAGAGACACTCCCAACAGAGTTGGCTGAACGAGCGCACGGGGCTAATGTCAGAGGTGGATGGAGTACTCACCTGTGGTACCAAGCAGAGAGGGGGGGAGGTAAGATTTCAGGTCCAGAACTGGCTCTAGCCAAACAGGAAGAAGCAGCTATGAATCTGCTTACACCAGAAGCAGAGTGTCTTTGGTATTCTGACATACTCTTTCTGATATTCAGACAGACCACCATTAGAGTAGGCACTGGTAAGAGAGTCACATAAGAAACAAGCCAAAAGACAAGACCAAAAAGTGAGGAATTAAATGGAGCAGACCCTATCGGTCTTTTCTCTAGGAAAAGCGGTCCTCCTTATGCAAGATGATACTACTTTCAAAATGGCCAATATGATACTAACCTTCAGTAACAGAGTTTTCACATCCCACAAGGTTGAGGAGGATATCATCATCTTTATCATCTACTTCACATCCCAGTAGCATCCAGCTTTCCACATTATCGCCTTCTGAAATGGTGCTCTCTTCCTCTTCACTTGAACTGACCTCTATAATCATGACCTCTCGGATTACATCTGATCTCTCTTCATGTTTAGGCTTCTCAAGATCACTCTTGCATTTCTTATCAACCAGCTCATTAGACTGAAGGGAAGCAGAAGGACCAAAGGCATTTTCTTGTGCTTGACCTCTAACATTCCTTCCTTTACATCTATAAATACTGTCTTCATCAGACAAAGTGATGACCTCTGACCCATCTGACAGTTGGATGACCTCATTATCTGAAAGGACGATTAGTTTCTTCTGATTTGGTTTACTACTCGAAGATTCCGAATTCCCAGAGTTCTTTTTTTCATGTTCTTCCTCCCTGATGACATCATCAAGATCTTGGGCATAATGAATTTGGCTATAGAGTTGAAATTCCACTTCACTATCAACACTCAGTTCACTAGATGACTCATCTCGATAAAGATCATCTTCGTATGCTTCTATAGTCTCATAGCCACCAAACATCATAAAAAGTCAGTAACCTTGAAGCTGCAAAAGAGAAAGTTGTACACAGAATATATTTTAAAAGTTCAGATCATGAGAGTTTAAGGAACAATATCACCTGTTAGTGACAACTGCTAATATGAAGGCCATCACTATTTTCAGACATATTAAAATACCTTTTTTCCAAGGATTTCTAAGTCCTGTTAGGACCCACTCCTTTAAGTCCCACCACTCCCTAACGAGAATTACTACTGACAAATTGAGTTATAGTTATTGATGGAAACACAGTCAACACTTTAAGAAATGCTTTGTTCAGTAATTTCATCGTGCAAACTTCATAGGATGATTTTCACAAACCTAGATGGTGTAGTCAACTACACAACTAGGCTATATGGTATGGTCTATTGCTCCTAGGATACAAACCAGTACAGCATGTTACTGTACCAAATACTATAAATAACTGTAACACAATGGTATTTGTGTATCTAAGCATATAAAAGATTCAGCAAAAACAGTATACAAATCCTATGGGACCACAGTCATATGGTCTGTCTTTAATCAAAATGCTATTATGCAGCACATGATATGTAAGATTTCACAGGTATATTGTAAATGAAAAACAAGTTGAGATCTATTGCAGGACACAAAACCCTTGTCCAAAATGTTAAAACAGCCGGGCGCGGTGGCTCAAGCCTGTAATCCCAGCACTTTGGGAGGCCGAGACGGGCGGATCACAAGGTCAGGAGATCGAGACCATCCTGGCTAACACGGTGAAACCCCGTCTCTACTAAAAAATACAAAAAACTAGCCGGGCGAGGTGGCGGGCGCCTGTAGTCCCAGCTACTCTGGAGGCTGAGGCAGGAGAATGGCGTGAACCCGGGAGGCAGAGCTTGCAGTGAGCTGAGATCCGGCCACAGCACTCCAGCCTGGCCGCAGAGCGAGACTCCGTCTCAAAAAAAAAAAAAAAAAAAAAAAAAAAAAAAAAAAAATGTTAAAACAAAACTTAAAGTAGCTCTCACTAGCCTATCCATTCTTCATCTTTTCCTTGGTTCTGGTTCTACAGCTCATATTTTCAAGCATACACAGGAATATTACTTCGATTATGACTAAAATCCCTAACAAGAAACAGTTTTGTTTACTGTTTCGGTGTAAATGTATATTTCTCAATTAACAAATTAATCTCATGGCCCTCTGATCGTTGGCCAAAAAAATAAATAAAAATGCCTAAGCTGGCAGTGGCTCATGCCTGTAATCCCAACACTCTGGGAGGCCAAAGAAGGAGGATCACATTGAGGTCAGAAGTTGAGAACAGCCTAGGCAACACAGTAAGACTCCATCTCCATAAAAATTAAAACTAAAAACTTAGCCAGGCGTGGCAGTGCAAACCTGTAGTCCCAGCTACTCAGGAGGTTGAGGTGGGAGAACCGCTTGAGCTCAGGAGTTCAAAGTTACAGTGAGCTATGGTCACGCCATTGTACTCCAGCCTAGGTGACAAAGCTAGAACCCAACTCAAAAATAAAACAAGCGTGGGCCAGTGCAGTGGCTCACGCCTGTAATCCTAAAACTTTGGGAGGCCAAGGCAGGTGGATCACTTGAGGTCAGGAATTCGAGACCAGCCTAGCGAACAAGGTGAAACCACATCTCTGCTAAAAATACAGAAATTAGCTGGGTGTGGTGGTGTGCGCCTATAATCCCAGCTACTCAGGAGGCGGAGGCACAAGAATAGCTTGAACCTGGGAGGCACAGGCTGCAGTGAGTCAAGATCATGCCACTGCACTTCACCCTGGGCAACACAGCCAGACTCTGCCTAAAAACTGTACTAGTTACAAAACTGTATATTTTTATAATGTATATTTATAACGTATAAATACAAACTTAATAATGACCCAATATTGAGACAGAACTCCCAACTTTGGGAATAAATGCATAAAGTGAAACACTTTACTTTCTACTGTGAGCATATGAAATCCTCCTCAGCCTTCATATTTTAAACTCAGCTCAAAATCACTTCCAACCAGGCTAAATTAAGAGCCCCTTTTATGGGCGTCCATAAGCACTTTACATGTCAAAACACTCATCACATTTCTAATTACTTATTCAACATAAATTTCCAAGGAACACAGATCACAAACCCCAGGAGGGCAGGAACTAAGGAACTATATGTACTCTACTAAACAATGAATCACCAAAGCCAAGTAGGGTAACTGGTATTTTCGGGGTCAGCTACAAACGTTTGTTGAATTCATATATGAATAAATGAACTACACCACTGGGCATTTGTTCTTCAGCCCCGATAAATCTCGTATGTGCTTAAAATACAAAAATTATGAGATGAATTTCTCTGTTGTCTTTCAACTACTCCAAAGTCTTAAATTCTAGCATCAGCAACCAAAACTCTATACAGTAGATGTTTCTATTAGGTAATGATGGACTACTGAGAGCCCTGGAAAAATAAGTGTGTGTCCAAAATCAGGGACAGCCTAGAGAGCAATAATGATGCCAATTTATTCTTTCTTCCACTAACAGCTATACATATAAAATTAAAATTAGTTGTTTTCTTAATGTCCCAAATTTCTGCCCCAAAATACCAGGGTGTTGTGATGGTAGTTCTGGTACTAGAACCACCTTAATCCCAAAAACCAAATGGACAAGAGCCAAAAAGGCACTACATTCCTACTGGAGTTGTTTGTTTTCCAGAAATAAATAAACCAACCTGTAATGCTTTTCTTCTAAAAGGTATCATATGCCTGTGCCCTTGTTGTACTGTCCTTCAGGTGGCTATGCTGTTATTATCACACAAATTGAATGTGGCTGTCTGAATAATGCTCATAGCATTTATCAGTTTATATTGAATTGTTAGCCTCAGAGGAATTCAAATAAAAGATGAATCCTTTCCTTTTTATTTAATAGGTAAATTAATTCTAAAAGAAGTCAAAGGAATTATGCTTCTTTCAAAATCCTCACTGGATCCATCCTGAGGATCCAGTGTGGACTTAAGATAAAACATAATTCCAGTGCAGCACAGAAAAAATTAAAGAGCTAAATTACAGAGTTACAAATTTGTCCTCCTCCTGGAGCCATCCCAAAGGAAAGGGATTAAGAATAGAGCCATAGGCACACCTGTGAATGTATGCCAAAAATAAACTACAGAACCATAATAAAAACTGAATTCCTTGGGTCGAGGGATTTATCTCTTTCCCTGAAATGTAGAAAAATGAATTTAACAATTTGGCCCCTATGGCCTTTAAGAGGATTTTGTACCTTCTGTACTTGAAAATTGTGCTGGGCATAACGTGCTCTCTTATTAAGGTAGCTTATGTATGCCAGGGTTAAGGTCAGCCTGAGGCTGTTTTGGTTTATGTTACTGCTTTAATTACGTTCAAATGAATTTAATTTACCCTTTTAAAAAGTGTCTCAGAGGACAATGTATGTTTTTTACATACACACACACATCCCCTTGACTCAGAAGGCTTTCTTGGCTTTTTGATCCCTGTACATGATTCCCAAGTATACTAACTAGATAACAAAATCAGATTATCTCATACAGACTCCTCAATCTTCCCATCAGGAATCTGAAGTACAAAGAGATAGGAGGCCTAATTCAAGGTTATGCAGCTGGTTAAGAACACAGCTAGAAGTGATTCACATTTCTGTGATTCTCAGCCAATTGTTCACTACAATTTTTAAATAATTTTTTTTTTTCTCTCAAGACGGAGTCCTGTTCTGTTCCCCAGGCAGGAAGGCAGTGGCGCAATCTTGGCTCACTGCAACCTCCTCCTGGGTTCAAGAAATTCTCCTGCCTCTACCTCCCAAGTAGGTGGGATTACAGGCACGCACCACCACGCCTGGGTAATTTTTGTATTCTTAGTAGAGACGGGTTTCACCATGTTGGCCAGGCGGGTCTCGAACTCCTGACCTCGTGATCCCCCTCTCCCCCGCCTCGGCCTCCCAAAGTGCCTGGATTACAGGCGTGAGCCACCGCACATGGCCCAAAATAAAATTTTCAAATAAGTTAACTTCAAATTAAGACTTTTTGGGGAAAAAAAAACCTTCCTTCATTGCAATATTTGCATTGGTTCTAACACCTAAATTTACCTCACAACTATCCATTTTACGTCCCAGCACAATTTAAAAACTGAATGAGACATTTTAGGTAGAAGGAAAACACACATTTGTCAGTTTGCCATTCAAGAATCTCCCAAGTTGGTACTCAGAGACGATCAATCCCATGACCAGAAAAGATGTTTCCCATGTAAGATCCTAAAGTATCATGGAAATGAAACTTAGATCTAAGAATTAAAATATCTTAACAAATATAAAAGTTATAGAATAACTGCAAAGGCTATTACTATTCAAAAGAGGGAGCAGTATTCATTGATTGGTTTTAAACTAGACAACTTAAGGCTTATTTAAGATTTCAGCATTTACTTAATGCAGTCTTTAATCAATCCTTCCGCTCTCACAGTCTACCTACTGGTCATTCTGATCTTTTGCTCTTATTTACTTCCAAAGCACCTTTAGCCTCCCTAGATGTTCCTTCTTGATGACAGAGGCATCCATCTCGGGTCGATTTAAATCAAATCCACAGCCTCATTTTCAGTCCAAATTTCATTGGAATGTGATGAACACACTTTACTTTCAACATAAAATTCCTTTCTTACTATTAGTGAACTGCCCCGACAGGACAGTTGAAACACAATTGACTAAGCGGTTAAAAAGTCTGTCCATTTTTCAAATGCGATGGCCACTCTGAATCAAATTTGTTTGGGGTGGAGAATCCAGATGTGTGAAACAAAGGTCACAAAAGACAGAACACAGTATTTCGGGAGGAAAAAAATAAGCTAAATTTAGTCACGTAAGTCACAGCTCTTCTTGGGATATAGACATGATTTTTATGAGAATTAATCCTATCCGGAAACATTTCCTTCACCTTTCCCTTAGCCCTTTTCCTTTGGTCATGCAGTCTCTTACCCTGATACCTAACATACTACTATAATCATCACTTGCGATCCTTCCTGAGTTTATTCCTCATCCTCAGATTCCCTTGAAAGCAGCAATGCTAAACTGTCTCCAAAGCATAATGCTTTCCTAAATATACACACAATCCATTTAAAAGTCTTTGTATGTGACAGCCTAACTATTCAAAACACGAAGTCACTTCTCTAACGGTCTTAGATAAAAGTTTAAAAAGAAAAAGAAAACCACAAAGTCAAGAGCTTCTGAGGGGACCTGAAAAGTCATCAAACTGAACGCTCTCGTTTTATAGTTGGAGAAATGGGGCTCAGATAAACTTACTGAGCGAAAAAGGCCCTAATGGAGCCCCTAATTCAATAGTGTAATCTGAAATAATCTTAAATTCAGCCTCAATAAGAGCTTTCTGGAGTCGCCAGCGAGTTCGTGGGGGAGCCACGGCTAGAACACAGGCCTCCTGATTCCCAGCCACAGCTTTTCCACCGAACCGGCAGCTCTTCCCGAAAGTTGAATGCAACTGTCCGCTCACAGGATGGGAGGGATAAAGGGCGCCTTAGTGAACACAGTCCAAGTCTACTTGTTTTACATGAGGAAAGGGACACAGCTCCCGAAATCTTGGATTCCACGGCTGCAGCTGCTGCTTCTGACAGCAGAGGCGGGAGGTGGCCCGGGACTACTCGGTCCTCAAAGACTGGATTCCCTCTCGGCGCGCCGAGACCTCTGCGCTTCACTGACTGGCTTCCCTACAAGACTGGGGGTCTTGCGGAGAGATAAAAAGGGCAGACACGCCACCCCCACCGAGACCCTGGACGCCCAGCCGCTCTAGAATCACGGCCTTAGCCCTTGGAGGGCCAGGGAGACGCGGACCTCCGAGTCCGGCAGCCCGGCCGCGTGAGGCGGGGCGCAGCTGAGGGACCAGGAGCTGCGCCCTGCCACGAGTGAGGGACGGACGGGAGACGTCGAGGCCGGCGAGGGGGCACGCGCTAGTTCCACAGCCCGGCGGGCGAGACGGAGGATAGATAGGGGTCCCGGGCCGCGGGCGGCTGGGGGGTCCGTCACACACATACTCACTGCCGCGGCTGCGAACAGGAAGCACCAACCGGGAACCACAACGCGTAGAGGGACGGGGAGGGGCGAGGACAAATGAGGTAAGGAGGCCGCGTCCGCGCAGACCGGGAGGGAAGGCACTTCCGGGGACAACACCGCTCCAGTCGTCGCCTTTCCGTCACCGCCCATCCTCCCGGGCTGATGTGCGCATGCGTACTGAGTGCGAATCCTTTCTCTGCCCCGCCATAATTATTAGGCTTGCCTTCCTTGCTTTGCCCCTTCCCCTTCCCATATTCTCTTGAAGCTACCTAGGCTACATCTATTATTTGAATGACTCGTACGAAGGAGATGCTATTTACCGACAAAAGCCGGGGAGTTCGTGCCCGCTACCCCCGCGAGGAAAACTACAAGTCCCATGAGGACACGGGCGAGATTGAGGCCGGGCTCCGCCTCCTTCTCCCTGGCGCTCGGTGGACGCCTTCCCAGTGCCACGTGGCGTGGGAGCCTAGCTTATCGCGTGCATGACGAGGGCCGGCGTGGCTGGCTGCTTGGCCCGCAGACCTGGTCAGCGGGAAATGCCTACTTGAGAGCTCATGGCTTCAAACTTCTCCCTTGCGCTCATGATCTTAGGCTGATCGCTTTTACCTTTAGGCTGAACACAGGGCGCCTCCAACTCTCTGGAATTCTAGGCAACAGATTTAACACTTTGTGAATCTTGAAGAGCTGCACTCCTGCTAAATATTGGAGTTAATGCTGATCCTTTGGAAGTCTCTGAAGGTGGCAAGATTGTGATGGGAGCCTCGGGTTTCATTTGCCCTTCTCACACCTTATTTTAATACAAGGTAAACCCATATGTAGAATTTTAGAAGTAACTGTCGACCTAAAGGAAAAACTGAGGCAAAGTTAATATAAGGGGAGAATTTATTTGGGCCAAGTTTGATGAGTGCAACCTGGGATCATCAATTCAAGTTGCCCTTATATGTCATCCGATAAGCAGCAGTTTCAAGTAAGTTCTTTGTCTTGTGAAGCTCGAGGCTTGAAGGTATAGATCCTCCCACCTCTGTCTCTCAAAGCATTGGGATTACAGGCGTGAGCCATTACACTTCCTTGTAGGGGCTACGAGTGAATTTTTCTTTCTTTCTTTCTTTTTTTGAGACGGAGTATCGCGGTTGTTGCCCAGGCTGGAGTGCAATGGCGCCGTCTCAGCTCACTGTAACCTCTACCTCCCGGATTTAAGCCATTCTCCTGCCCCAGCCTCCTAAGTAGCTGGGATTACAGGTCCCTACTACCACGCCCACCTAATTTTTGTATTTTTAGTAGAGACGGGGTTTCAACATGTTGGCCAGGCTGGTCTCGAACCCCTGAGCTCAGGTGATGCGCCCGCCTCGACCTCCCAAAGTGCTGGGATTAGAGGCAGGAGCCACCGCGCCCGGCCAAAGGTGAATTTTTAAAGGAAAAAAGAAGAGGTTTTTGCTAAACTGTATACCAAGAATTTACACTAAAATAATATAAGCTATCCATTGGCTACACATTGTTCTTTCTATCACAAATTCTAGGAGCACAAAGATAAAGGGTGATGCAGGTACAGGGAAGAAAAGAAAAAAATGCCTTTAAACAATTGCCATACACACACCCCCACCCCCATCACCCCCCACCACCACCTGCATAGGATGGTGCTAACTGAATGAAGTCCCATACTCAGGTCCGTCTGGGTCTGATAAATTTTGAATGCCTGCCTGGCTGATGGGGTAGCTGTCACCTTTTTGGGAGCCCAAAGTGAAAGGATCGCTAAAGGCAGAGAATTTGAAACCAGCCGGGGCAATATAGCAAGAGGCTGTCTCAACAAAAAATTTTAAAAATTAACTGGGCGGCTGGGCGCGGTGGCTCACACCTGTAATCCCAGCACTTTGGGAGGCCGAGGCGGGTGGATCACCTAAGGTCAGGAGTTCGAGACCAGCCTGACCAACATGGCAAGAAACCCCATCTCTAGTAAAAACACAAAATTAGCCGGGCGTGATGGCGCATGCCTGTAATCCTAGCCACTCATGAGGTTAAGACAGGAGAATCGCTTGAACCCGGGAGGCGGAGGTTGCAGTGAGCCGAGATTGCACCATTGCACTCCACCCTGGGCAGCAAGAAACTCCATCTCAAAAAAAAAAAAAAAAAAAAAATTAACAGGGCGTGGTTGCCCACGCCTGGAGTCCCAGCTGTACCTGGCTGAGGTTTGACTTGCAGAGGTCGAGGCTGCAGTGAGCCGAAATCGCGCCACTGCACTCCAGAATGAGACCGTCTGAACAAAAATGTTTAAAGCTCAAGCACAGTGCCTCATGGCTGTAATCCCATCACTTTGGGAGGTTGAGGCAGGTGGATCGCTTGAGCTCAGGAGTTGGAGACCAGCCTGGGCAGCATAAGGAGACCCCATCTATATTTAAAATAAGATCCTTTTTAATTAAAAAATTATATAAAAATAAATTTTAAAAGAACCCTTTTTATAAAAATAAATAAGAAATTTTAAATAGTAAAAATTAGCCAGGTGTGGTGGCACAAAACTGTATTCCTAGCTACTAAGGAGGCCAAGGTAAGATTGCTTGAGCCTGAAAGTTCAAGGTCATAGTGAGCTGTGATCACACCACTGCACTCCAGCCTGGATGACAGATCCCATATCTTTAATTTTAAAAAAATTATTTTTGCATACCTTTAACGTAACTTAGACTGCTCTGAAATATTTTTCTCCTCTCATAATGAAACACTGCCAATTAATTGGCCTATTTCAATTCTCCTCAAGACAAGTGTGATTTTGTTTTCACCAACGTTTACTGAACATCTATCTGTTAAAAGACGGTGTTAGAAAGTGCAGAAAAGTTGTAAATTTTTAAGTCACTGATCTCAGAGAGATAGGAGTCTAGCTAGAAAAACAGTTATAGTCTAGGAGTTTGGCCAGAAAAGAATTAGAACATTTAATTAACATTATAGGGTAAGTGCTGGGAAGGAGAAGGACAAGGTACTATGAAAAGGTAAAATTGGAGAACCACTTTCCAGAAAAGTAAACAGGCGTAGAAGCACATCACAGATTACTCATTGTTTGTTTTGGTAATATGTATTGTGTAAAACAAATGTCACCTTTTTAAAAATTTAAAAATATATTGCCAGGATTACTCCTGTACATCTATAATATTTTAAATTTCGACAACACTTTGTGGATTTTTTTTTTTTTTTTTTTTTGAGACGGAGTCTCACTCTGTCGCCCAGGCTGGAGTGCAGTGGCAGGATCTCGGCTCACTTCAAGCTCCGCCTCCCAGGTTCACGCCATTCTCCTGCCTCAGCCGCCCGAGTAGCTGGGACTACAGGCACGCACCATAAATGCCCGGGTTATTTTTTTGTATTTTTAGTAGAGATGGGGTTTCACCATGTTAGCCAGGATGGTCTTGATCTCCTGACCTCGTGATCTTCCTGCCTTGGCCTCCCAAAGTGCTGGGATTACAGGCGTGAGCCACCGTGCCCGGCCTGGACCAACATTTATTTGAGAAGGAAAGCACCTGTTCTTCCCACAGCAGTGGCAGTAGTACATCAACAGTGCACAGCTGAATTGGGACAGGGGCCAGGACAAAGCAGAAATCTGCTGCAGAGACCAGGAAAGATAAAGGATGTTCTGTAGCAGGATCTGGGCAAGCAGCACTCATCCGTATCCTTTGCATTGCAAACAGAGGAGCTGCCTCCTTCCTTTTTATTTTCCAGTTTATTAATGGCTCCTAGAACCTCTGAGAACTAACTGATTTTGACCTCTTAACAGTTGCCTTTCAACTACCATTCATTCACTGCAAGCCTACTGTGTAAATGGGCCCTGGCTAACCACTTCAGATATATTGTCTCTTGTCCAGCTTCAAGTGACTCTCTAAGGGAGGAATTAGCCCCACCTCACTAGTATGGAAATGGAGACTTGGAGTGATCAAGTGACTTGCTCTGAGTTACACAGCTGGGAAGTGGTGAAGCTGGAATTCAACTCAAGTTATGTCTAGATCTAAAACTCATGCTGTTTTCTATGCTCAAAGCTGCGTTTCAAAACTGAACTTTAGCATGGAGTCTATGATGAGTGGCTCGTGTCTTTCCACCCAGCACCTAGCCCAAGGCCAAGCACAGAGAGGGCTCACAGTGGACACTTTTGGAATGAGTAGATTCTGTATGGAATGGTTGGTAAATGAAGGCCTGGGCACGGTGTGAACAGTGTTATGGGACAGCAGAGGGGGTGGTGGCTGATTAGGGGAAATGGAGAAGCCTCTGCAGAGGAACAGAGTTGAGTGAGGCCTGGAGAAATAAGTAGTCAGAAAAAGACCGACCAATTCAGCATTCTCACAGCAAAGACCACTAACAGGCAATTCACAGAACAGGAAACCCAAAGGCCATGAATAGGTGCTCCACATCACCAACAGTCAGAAAAACGCAAATTATCTCATGCACAGTAGATGAGAATACAAACTGGAAAAGTGTGTTAGGAGAGCCATTTGGTAGCATCTATCACAATTATAAATGAGGTATGTTCTTAAATTTAAGTACAAACATTGTGATAGAAAAAAATGGAAACAAATATTCATTAGTAGGGAACGATCTAAACAAGGACATACTTATACTATTTTTTTTAAAAAATGCCACTTTTGGCCTGGCACAGTGGCTCACACCTATAATACTAGCACTTTGGTAGGCTAAGGAAGGCAGACTGCTTGAGCCCAGAAGTTCCAGACCAGCCTGGGTAACATGGCGAAACCCCGTCTGAACAAAAATACAAAAATTAGCTGGGAATGGTGATGTGTATCAGTAGTCCCAGCTATTTGGGAGGCTGAGGTGGGAGGATCACTTGAGCCCAGTAGGTGCAGACCAGCCTGGCCGACATGGCAAAACCCCCATCTCTACTAAAAATACAAGACTTAGCCGGGCATGGTGGCACATGCCTGTAGACCCAGCTTCAACAAAAAGATATAGAAGGATTCACAAAGACATACAGTTAAATGAAAAAAGGTAAATTGCAGAGGAGTAGGTGTATTGTGAAATCTTTTTTTATTTTTTTTTGTGACAGAGTCTCGCTCTGCTGCCCAGGCTGGAGTGCAATGGCATGATCTCAGCTCACTGCAACCTCCACCTCCCCCACTTAAGTGATTCTCCTGCCTCAGCTTCCTAAGTAGCAGCTACTACTAGCACCTGCCACCACGCCCAGCTAATTTTTGTATTTTTAGTAAAGACAGGATTTTACCATGTTGGCCAGGCTGGTCTTGAACTCCTGGCCTCAAGTGATCCACCCACCTCGGCCACCCAAACTACTGGGATTACAGGCAGAAGGCACTGAACCCAACCCATTTTTATGTTTTTAAAGGGTACATGTGTGTCTATATGTAGATATCTGTGTACATAGATACATAGGCAAAATACTGCACGAATGCCAATTGGTAACGGTGGTTATTCACATCTTAGGAGGGGAGTGGGAGTAAGAGATTGAAGGACTTTCATCTAAACAAAAAAAAAGTGAGACATGAGTCATTGAGGAAAAACAGCATATAACTTCTGTGGTATTCCCATCAAAACTACATAACTTGAATATAAACATGAGAAAACTATCAAAAACAAATTGGGGGACATTCTACAAAATAATGGACTTTTCAAAACTATCAGTGTCAGGAAATGCAAAGAAACACTGAGTTACTGTACCACATTAAAGGAACAATTGGCAACATCCGACATCCAGATTTAGGTTAGAGGACAGTACTATATTAACATTATTTCTCTGATTTTTATATTTACATTATGGTTATGTAGGGGAACGCCTTGGTTTTATTTTTCAGGTTGAGCACGCTGAAGTACCTGGAGTAAAGGGGCATCATGTCTGAAACTGATGCTTAAGTGGCTTAGAAGAAAAATTCTGGGAGCTAGAGGGAGAGAGAGAGAGGAGTGTGGTAAAAAGTTAACATTTTGGAGATCTGTGTAAAAGGTACATGAGGATTCTTTGTACTGATTTTGCATTTTTTCTCCAAATGTGAAATTATGTCAAAATATAAAATTAAAAGACAAAATAAAAAGAATGAGTGAGAGTTTGCTAGGTAGAGAAGCAGAAAGATCTTCTGTCAAAGGAACAGGATCAGCAAAAGCATCACACAAGTGTGCGAGTCTTCTGTGTTGACAAGCCCTGACTCTGAATATCCAGGACATAGCATAGTGTGGGTAGACAGGGAGTAGAGGGATGATGAGCAGCATAACCCACAAATGGACATATTTCCCTGCTACCTAAGATTGGAAGTAAAGACTTTAGGCCTCCATTATACCCAGTCTCAAGTCTTGCAAGACATAACGTGAGTTCTCATGGCGGCTCAGTCTTTGCATTGGTGATGTCTCTTCATCCAGTGACTGTGTGGAACAATGGAAACCCTAGAATCATGGCTGAAAGGGACATCTAGTCCAACTCTCTCATTTTGCAGAAGGGACAACTAAGATGCAAAATGAAGAAGAGATTTGCAAGGTCCCAACAAAGGTTAGTGTTAAAACTGGCTTCTGGTTCCCAATCCATCATTCTTTCTATTGCACCAAAGTCTACGTGATAAGGGAGAAGAAATAGAAGGCTAGCAAGGGAAATGACTGAATGTTAAAGTTTGGACGTTTTTTATTTGACAAAAATACAAACTTAATGTCTGTACAATTTTAAAAGTAAACAATATAGATACCAATGGTATTGTGGAAACTGTCTTCACTTAAGCCAATAGGTTCCAACTGGTAAGTGATATTCAATTCAGGCTCCTAGGTCTGAAGCAGCAATCAAGGTGATTCTCAGGAATTCTCAATGACATTGGTACCCATCTGGATTTGTTGAAAAGTTTAACATCTTTTTGTATTATTCATGATTCTGCAGTTCTTCCAATTGCAAAGTGATGGGGAGAGTACACATTTTCAACCAGGCTATGAAATCGTTCTTGAAAATTTGGACATTCATATAGATGGCTTTTAATTTTTCTTGGAGACTGCCTTTCCTTATGAAGTAATGAAATTTAAATATATATATTATAAATTAAACTATATACATAATATTCTAATTACAATAAAATCCTAGGGATAAGGAACTAGTATTTCAAGGGCGCCATTCCCGTTTTTTATTATTCTTCTTAGTTGGAATTTTATTCCTCAAAGCTTAGCTCTTAGTGACTAGAAAATGAATACTGACTAACAAAACTATTGGGATTCTAATTTATTTAAGAATCGTCAGATTCTGTACAAGAAATCTTGAAGCATGTCATCAGTAACATGCTGAGAAGCTGCCTAAAAAGGCATGCCTTTCTTTTAAATGTCCATGAGCCCTGGATCCACAGATTATCAGACATGAAGGATCACACAGGCTCAAAGAGGGCTTATTTTGGTGTCATCTGTAGAGGGGTTGCTCTCTTCAGCTGCCCATCCTGGACCCCAGAATTATGCCTACAGTTTTCAGTTTCCACATGTCTTTGTGGCAATGCTACCATGAATTATTTTACTCAGGACTTTAGATTAACTACAAAAGAAACTAATTGAAAATAATTAAGATCATTCTGTCATGTGAGCCACAGTTTACTACAGTCAACTTAAGCACAATTATATATGATAAACTATAGATGTGATGCTTTGTGTTTCAACCATTATTATCCATTGTTTCTTACTCAGTTGGTGAAACCATTAGCAATATGGGGCTTTAAAAGGACTGTCTCTATGATATCGTCTTCCTCTGCCTCCCTTCAGGATCTGATATTCTTCTGTGGTTGATTGACCAGTCTGCATGTGGGTGGTGTATTTCTTATATCAGACCTATTAATTGCAGAAGGTTCTGTCTCCCTATCCCCAATACCTCAAACTTCCTGTTTCCTGTACAGTCTTCAACAACTCTATTTGCATGGCTCCAGCAATCTTTGTGCTTGCTTGCTATGGACAGATCTGTTAAAATCCTGGAACTGCCACAGTTTCTTCAGAAAGTTTGATGTCTCTCTCCAGAGAATGGCTTTTTTCTCATTGTGCTATGCTGTTGCTCTCAGAGCTCACCCGCTGGAACTTTCTCTTTCCTGTGCCTATGCTCAGCTGTGGGGGAATAATAAGAGAGGTTTTATTCCTATTTATTATCATGTATGATAGGAATAATGAGAAGGAATAATGAGAGTAATGATAGGAATAATGAGAATCGCTTGAACCTGGGAGCCAGAGGTTGCAGTGAGCCAAGATCACGCCACTGCACTCCAGCCTGGGTGACAGAGTGAGTCTCCATCTCGAATGGAGGAGAGAAGAGAGAAGAGAAGAGAAATCATAGGTATGTAACCTTCTATGTCTAGCTACTTTCACATAACACAAAAATTTTTGAGGTTCATCCATTGTGGCACATATCAGTACTTCATTCTTCTTTTTTTTTTTTTTTTGAGACAATATCTGTTGCTGAGGCTGGAGTGTAGTGATCCAATCATGGCTCACTGCAGCCTTGAATTCCCAGATTCAATTAATCCTCCCACCTCAGCCTCCCAACTACCTAGGATTATAGACATGCCACTATGTCCAGCTAATTTTTGTATTTTTTTGTAGAGATAGGTTTTTGCCATGCTTCCCAAGCTGGTCTCAAACTCTTGGGCTCAAGCGATCTGCCTACCTCAGACTCCCAAACTGGTGGGATTACAGGCGTGAGCTACCTCAGTCGGCCATTTCATTCTTTTTAATAGCTGAATAGTATTCCATTATATGTATATACCACTATTCGTTTATCCATTCATCTGCTGACAGGCATTTGGATTGTTTCCACCTTTGGGTTGTTATGAGTAATGCTACTACAAACATTCATAGACAAGTTTCTTCTTTTTTTTTTTTTTTTTTTTTTTTGAGACGGAGTCTTGCTCTGTCGCCCAGGCTGGAGTGCAGTGGCCAGATCTCAGCTCACTGCAAGCTCCGCCTCCCAGGTTCACGCTATTCTCCTGCCTCAGCCTCCGGAGTAGCTGGGACTACAGGCGCCCGCCACCTCGCCCGGCTAGTTTTTTGTATTTTTTTAGTAGAGACTGGGTTTCACCATGTTAGCTAGGATGGTCTTGATCTTGTGACCTCGTGATCCGCCCGTCTCGGCCTCCCAAAGTGCTGGGATTACAGGCTTGAGCCACCGCGCCCGGCCCATAGACAAGTTTCTATGTGAACATATGTTTTCGTTTCTATTGATATACCTAGAATTATTGGGTCATTATGGTAATCCAGTTTTACTTTTGGAGGAACCACCAAGCTGTTTTCCACAGTGGCTGCATGATTTTACATTCCAAACTGTAATGTACTACGATTCCTATTTCTTCACATACCTACCAATACTTATTATTTTCAATTTTTTAAGTTATAGTAATCCTACTGGGTGTGAAACGGCATTTCATTGTGATTTTGACTTAAATTTCTTTAATGACCAATAAAGTTGAACATTTTTATGTGAATGTAGGCTATTTGTACATCTTCTCTGGAGAACTATTCAAATCCACTATCAATTTTTACATTGAATTGTATTTTTGTTGTCGAGTCGCAATTTTTTTTTTTTTTTTGAGACAGGGTCTTGCTCTGTCACCCAAGCTGGAGTGCAGTAGTGTGATCTCGGCTCCCTGCAACCTTTGCCTCTGGGGCTCAATCAATCCTCCTACCTCAGCCTCCTGAATAGGTGAGAGTTCAGGTGTGAACCACCACGTTCAGCTAATTTTTATATTTTTTGTAAAGACAAGGTTTTGCCATGTTGCCCAGGCTGATCTCCAACTCCTGGACTCAAGTGATGAGCCTGCCTCAGCCTCCCAAAGTGCTGGGATTACAGGAGCAAGCCACTGCACCTGGCTGAGCATTTTTTATATATTCTGAATACTAAACCCTTATGAGATATGATTTGTAAATATTTTCTCCCATTCTGTAGGTTGCTTTTCACTCTATTGATAATATCCTTTGATTTGCAAAGGTTTTAATTTTTGTGAAATCTAATTGATCTATTTTTCTTTTGTTGCTTGTGCTTTAGAGGTAGTTCTAAGAATCCAATGCCAAATTCAAGCTCATAAAGATTTACCCCTGTTTTCTTCTAATAGTTTTATACTTTTGGCTCTTATATATAGGTAATTGATCCATTTGAGTTAATCTTTGTATATGGAGTGAGGTAGGGGACCAACTTTATTCTTTTGCATGTCGTTTTCCAGTTCCAGCACCATTTTCTGAAGACACTGTTTCTTCCCCATTGAATGTTCTTGGCACCCTTGTTAATAAATCAACTCACCATAGGTGTTTGAGTTTATTTCTGGACTCTGAACTCTATTCTGTTGATATATATGTCTATCCTTATGACAGCACCACACTGTTTTTTGTAGGCTTGCAGTACTTTATTTCTCTTTTTCAATATTGTTTTGGCTGTTTTGGGCCTCATGCAATTCTGTGTGAATTTGAGGATCAACCTTTCCATTTACGCAAAAATGGCCATTAAAATTTTTATAGGGATTGCATTGAATCTGTAGGTCATTTTGGGAGTACTGCCATCTTAACAATATTAAGTTTTCTAATACATAACCATGGAATTTCATATTAAGTTGGGTCTTTTTAAATTTTATTCAGTAGTTTTATACTTTTCAGTGTACAAGTCCTTCACCTTCCTTGGTGAATGCTCTGATCAAATGCATACCTGAGAGATGCAACTTGCATAAACCATAAAACTCTATATCCCAATCAGAATACAATTCATAAGAATTGTATTTGAATCTTCTGGATGCTATTATAAATGGAATTTTTTGGGGGGGGAATTGTTCCTTGGTGATGTACAGAAACAGCTGGTTTTTGTGTGTTGATCTTGTACCCTAGAAATTTGCTAAATCAATTTACTAGATCTAATAGATTTTTTTGTGTATTCCCTGGGATTTTCTATATGTAGAATCCTGTCTTCTGCAACTGTAAATATTAATTTCTTCCATTCCAATTTAGTTGATTATTGTGATTCCAAATGATGAGAGTGTTTTACTTTTTCTTCCCAAACTGCTCTGGCTAGAACTCCCAGTACTATGTGGAGTAGCAGTGATGAAAGCAGGCATCCTTATATTGTTTTTGCTCTTAGGCGGAAAGCTTTCAGTCTATCACCATTAAGTATGAAGAGCTTCCTTGTCTTTCGGTCTTTGGTTGGGATTGGACAATAGGCAGCATGGACTAAATTTAGGAGGACAGGAGGGGAATGAAGTCACGCTGTTAGTGAGGTGGTTCCCTCTCTGCTGCATCTCCATGAGTTGATTGTGTTCCTCTACAAAAGACCACAGCTCCTGTCAGGTGGCCTTCTTCATATAGCCACTCCTCCCTTCCTTGCCCTTTTAGGTCTAACTAAAAGGTGAATGCTCCCTGCAATGGCTAGCCCTAGGCACCATACCTTGTTGTCTTCCCTGAGTCCTGCCCACCCCTCTGTAAACTGTCCATTCATGAAACTTTACTCAATTCCTCATTTAGAATGTACACCTGTTTCCTGCAGAGATTGTAATTCAAAGACTTAACACCGAGTAAATGGGCACATCTCTCTGGACTGCCGTCAGCCTGCAGTGGTCCAGCAAGATTCCAAAGTGAGTGAGGTTTTAACAACCACCTTACAGTCTTTTCTGGCTTTTGAACATATATTAGTCTGTGACTGGGTATGGGGTAGGAGGAGTTTGGTGAGAACAAGGAAGATAACTTGCTGCTCTTCATGTCAGCGATGTGTACCTGAGAGATGCAACTTGCATAAACCATAAAATTCTATATCCTAATCGGAATTGCTGAATCAAAGATTTGGAACTGCAACTTCTTCAAATGGGAAGACAAATATTTCTTCCACCTTTGCTTCTGATTCTGTTCATCATCCATTGTCAGTATCCCAGATTAGACTCTGATAAGGACATGCTGGCTGCTTGAACTTTGGGGCTTAATACTACTAAATATTCGAGCCCAGCCCAACTTTTGCTTCATAACTGCCTCTACCCCAAGGCCTGATGGAACCCACCTCTTTTGGCCCAAGGAAACTCACATGCTGTCAACATTAATGTACTGTATTCATTTCCTAGGGCTGCCACAACAAATTACCAAAAAGTGGAGTGACTTGAAACAGCAAGAATTTCTTTTCTCACAGTTTTGGAGGCTAGAAGTCCGAGATCAAGATGTTGGCAGGTTCATGCTCTCTGATGCCTTTAGGAAAGAACCCTTCCCTGCCTCTTCCTGGCTTCTGCAGGTTCTTGGCAATCCTTGGTTTGTCGATGCATCACTCCAACCTCTGCCTCTGTCATCACATGGCTACATCTTCTCCCTGTGTGTCTTATTCTTCCTCCCATGAGGCCACCAGTCATATTGAATCCAGAACCCATCAGGCTGGGCATGGTGGCTCACACCTGTAATCTTAGCACTTTGGGAGGCAGAGACACATGGATCACCTGAGGTCAGGAGTTTGAGACCAGCCTGGCCAATATGGTGAAACCCCGTCTCTATTAAAAATACAAAAATTAGCTGAGCGTGGTGGCACGTGCCTGTAGTCCCAGCTACTTGGGAGGCTGAGGCAGAAGAATCACTTGAACCCAGGAGACAGAGGTTGCAGTGAGCCAAGATCGAGCCACTGCACTCCAGCCTGGGCAACAGAGCAAGACTCTGTCTCAAACAAACAGAAAAAAGAACCCATCATATCTTAACTGATATCTGCAATGAGCCGGTTTCCAAATAAAGTCATATTCTGAGATACTAGCGTAAGGACTTCAACATTCCCTTGGAGGGACAGAATTCAACCCATAGCAATATATATTTATCATTTGCAAGGACTTGCTTCTCCCTCTCTGACTCATTCCACTACTAGAAGAGAAAATCCTACTTATAAAATACAAGGTTAGAGGCCAGGCGCGGTGGCTCACACCTAGTATCCCAGCACTTTGGGAGGCCGAGGCAGGTGGATCACAAGGTCAGGAGTTCAAGACCAGCCTGGCCAAAATGGTGAAACCCCGTCCATACTAAAACTACAAAAATTAGCAGGGCGTGGTGGCAGGCGCCTGTAATCGCAGCTACTCGGGAGGCAGAGGCAGGAGAATGGCTTGAACTTTGGTGGCAGAGGTTGCAGTGAGCTGAGATCATGCCACTGCACTCCAGTCTGGGCGATAAGAGTGAGACTCCGTCTCAAAAAAATAATAATAAAAAATATAAGGTTAGAACATTTTATTGAAGGAAAGCAATAGGTGAGCAGAAAATCAAGAGCCCTTACTCAACTAAAAGTCAAAGCACAGGACTATAGTGCCAGGTAGAACATAATTTTCCTGTGTGAAGTTTCACACCACTTAATCTCTGTGCACTTCAGTTTCCTCAACTGTAAAATGAGGAAACAGACTTAGCAACTGCAAAGGCAAGTCCTGTTAAGCTCCCAAATTCTAAGATTCTTTGACATACACATCTATTGCTAATAGATTTTCTGCAAGGGATATTGTGAGCTTGCTTAAACTGTTACCTCAGACTGCTTATGCTCAACGTCTCTCTCAGTCCATTTCCAATTACTCTTCTGCTGTCTCTGTGATAGTCTGGTTTATTTGAAAACATCTGGAGGATTCACTGGCCTTAATTCCAAGTATGAAATGTAAAGGCTCCATATAAACCTTCATAATTGGACCCAGATTTTCTCCTAATGCTATTAAATCTTCTCATCTAATCTTGACTCCAGAAATATTATGGGTTTTCCTCTCAAGGAGACTCAGAAGCATGCATGGGGGTCAGAGGGGAAGGAGAATAATGGGAAGATTTAGAGACATGATGTATGATCTCCCTTATTATTCCACCTGTGAAATTAGCTCCCATACTTCCTCCCTGACTTATCTGTAGCACTGGCTCCTCCAGGAGAGGTGCTCTGTCTTATTCATCTCTGAGTGCACATAAGGACATGCATTTGCCCCCAAAATAGGACCCGGCTCAGCCTGTGTAGCAGGCAAAAAGGGAGGGAGGAAGGCAGAGAGGTCATTTACCAGAGAAGTTTCATCACTGCTCTATTTTCACCCCACCCTCCTCCTCCGATCCCCTAAACTCAGATTCTCAGATCCATGAACTGATGTTCCATTTTAAAAAATTGTGGTAGGCCAGGCATAGTGGCTCACGCCTGTAATCCCAGCACTCTGGAAGGTTGAGGTGGGCAGATCACCTGAGGTCAGGAGTTCAAGACCAGCTTGGTCAACATGCTGTAACCCCGTCTCTACTAAAAAATACAAAAAATTAGCCAGGTATGATGGTGGGCGCCTATAATCCCAACTACTCAGGAGGCTGAGGCAGGAGAATCACTTGAACCTAGAAGGCAGAGGTTCCATTGAGCCGAAATCATGCCATCGCACTCCAGCATGAGCAACAAGAGTGAAACTCCGTCTCAAAGAAAAAAAGAATTGTGGTAAAATATACGTAAACATAAAAATTCACCAATTTAATTATTTTTAAGCATATAGTTGAGTGACATTGAATACATTCACATTGTTGTGCAACCATCACTACCATCTATCTGCAGAACTTTTTCATGTTCCCAAATTGAAACTCTGTACCCATTAAGCAATAACTTCCCATTCCCCTCTCCCTAGCCCCTGGCCACCACCATTCTACTTTCTATCTCTAAGAATGACTATTCTAGGTATGTCATACAAGTGGAATCACAAAATATTTGTCCCTTTTATTTATTTAATTTTTGAGCTGAGGTCTGGTTTCGTCGCACAGGCTGGAGTGCAGTGGTGCGATCTCAGCTCACTATAACTTCCACTTCCCTGGATCAAGCAATCCTCCCACCTCAGCCTCCTGAATAGTTGGGACTACAGGCCCACACCACCATACCTGGTGTGTCACCCTGGTGTGGTATTACACCCAGGTAATACCTGGAAGTATTGTGGATTCATAGCAACACAAGAGTGGAGGTTTAAGCCAGGCACGGTGGTCCAGGCTTGTAATCTCAGCACTTTGGGAGGCTGAGGCAGGCAGATTGCTTGAGCCCAGCAGTTTGAGACCACCCTGGCCAACATGGCAAAACCTGATCTCTACAAAAAATACAAAAATTAGCCTGGTGTGATGGCTCAAGCCTGTAGTCCCAACTACATGGGAGGCTGAGGTGGGAGGATCACTTGAGCCGGGGAGGTTGAGGCTGAGGTTGCAGTGAGCTGAGATCATGCTACTGCACTCCAGCATGGGTGACAGACTGAGACACTGTCTAGAGGAGAAGGAGGGGGAGGGGGAGGAGGAGATTGTTGTTTATATGTAATTAAGAGAAGGAGAAAAGTTTGCATGAGTGACTCTGAATCTTGACATAGGAGTGAGTGTTCTCTGTGCAGAAACCAGGACCAGGCTGAAGCACACCAGCCAGGAGGCTCTGCCAGAGCCACGGCATAGAGGCATGACTCAGCTTTGTCTGTTTGTGAAACTGCAAGTGAGCTGGCCTGACTGGAGCACAGCATGTTGGGGAATGGAGGGAGAGAGGAAAACACCGTGAAAGAATAGACTGACTGAGAAGCTATAGAGGAAGGTTTGGGTCTGGTCCCAAAGTCCAGGTATGGTAGATAAGGAACTGGATTTTATCCTCAAGACAATCAAGACCCATAGAAGATTTTAAGAAGAGTAATGTGGTCAATTACATATTTTATACACCCTTTCTAGTGGCTAGTGTTGGGAAGGTGAGACTAGAAGTGAGAGGCCACTTAGGAGACTATTGCCTAGACCAGGTGAGGAGTAACACAGTTATGGTGGGATAGGGGCAGCATTGTGCCTCAGCTGGCTCATGACAGCTGATTGTCAAATTTTAAGGAATTCTCCAAGCTGACTGTTAAACCCACTCATTCTTAAAAATTAAATTATGTGAACTTACAATTAGCTAAGCGTGGTGGCACGCACCTGTAGTCCCAGCTACTTGGGAGGCTGAAGTTGAAGAATCACACTTACAATTAAAGAAATATTTCTTTCATCATTTCCTAATTGTGTTTTTTGGGTTTTTGTTTGTTTTCTTATTTGTTTTTTAGCTCTGTTGCCCAGGCTGGAGTGCAGTGGCACAATCATAGCTCACTTTAAATTCAAACTCCGGGGCTGAAGTGATCTTCCCACCTCAGCTTCCTGAGAGAGGAGAACTACAGGTGTGCACCACCAGGCCTGCTATTTTAAATTTTTTGTAGACATGGCTTTCCCTATGTTGCCCAGGCAGTCTTGCACTCCTGGGCTCAAGCAGTCCTCCTGCCTCAGCCTCCCAAAGTGCTGGGATTACAAGCATCAACCAGCACCCCAGCTCTTAATTGTTATACTATTGTCTTAGTACTTAAGACAGTTTACCTCTATTTGATCTGTATGGTGGAAACATGATATAATGGTGTGCTGCTGCGCATCTCTTCCCAACATGATGTTCAACGCCATCATGGTGGTAATTGTGGAAAATCGAAACAGAGATAAGTAACCCGTAGATATGGCTGGCTTAGATTTGGGATTATATGTATTGTTTAAAAATATATGCATTAACTTTTCTTTATACAACTACTCTTTCATCATTATGATCTAACATCTTCTCTCTTCCTTTGTCCCTCTTTCTTTCTTTTTTTTCTGAGATAAGAGTTTTTGCTCTTGTTGCCCAGGCTGGAGTGTAATGGCACGTTCTTGGCTCACCACAGCCTCCGCCACCCAGGTTCAAGCGATTCTCCTGCCTCAGCCTCTTGAGTAGTGAGGATTAGAGGCACCCACGACCACGCCCGGCTAATTTTTTTTCATATTTTTTAGTGGAGACGGGGGTTTCACCATGTTGGCCAGGCTGGTCTCGAACTCCTGACCTCAGATGATCTGCCCACCTTGGCCTCCCAAAGTGCTGGGATTACAGGCCTGAGCCACCAAACCCAGTCATTTCCTTCCTTTTCTTATGTTTTCCCTCTCCCCTCCCACTTGTTAAGACCACTCTCCCTTTAGGGATTCCCATTCCCAGTGATATCTCATCAAAGCAGCACATGAATAGCTGACATTATGTAATGCTTTCACATTTGGCATTCCCAAGATATTACCCCACCCCGATGCAGAATAAGTTGTCAGAGCATAAAACTGGTATTTTTTACATAATCTTAATGTACAGATGTCAATATGAAAACCATTCACTACTATTATGATTACATTCTTTGTCTCATTTTCTTTGTATGCCAAGATTTGTTCTTGTGAAATCTTTTCTTTTGGGAGTTTCAAAGAGGGAAGACGAAACTTTAATAATCCAGTTTACTGATGCTGCCAAAAGGAAAAAGTAAACTTTTAAGTCTCCGACCACTTTTGGCAATGACACTCCTGGAACAGAAGTAAAGATGTAACAAGAAGGACCAGATGCAAACTGGAAATACAATCAGTGGCCCACTCGATGGTGCCAGATTCCTCAGCTTGTTCCAAATCAGATATGCCTGCAGTTTACAGGTTTGTTACTCTGTGTTATGATTACACTCTGTGTTAATCATAAATGAATAGCCTAGGCTTATGGGAGGAATAGTAAGACTAAAAAATAACATTGTAGAAAATACACAAGGTAAGAAGCAGAAGGGATTTAGAGACACCCTGGTCCATTCTCCATGTATTCAGTGATGCAGAGATGAGGGGGAAAATATATTCTAGATAAGGTCAAGGAAGGTCTCCCTGAAGAGATGACATTAAGTGGCGACTTGAAGGAGAAGGAGCTGGGCATGCAGAAAGCCAGAGGGTAGAACATTCCAGGCAGAAGGAACAACATGAACTAAGGGTCTGAGAAAATAATAATTCCTAACATTTATTTAACACTTACTATGTGCCTGGCGCTATTCTAAACACATTATATATATTACCTCACATATTCTTTTTTTTTTTTTTTTTCCAGAGACTGGGTCTCACTCTGTCATGCAGACTGGAGTGCAGTGGCATGACCATAGCTCACTGTAGTCTCAAACTCCTGGGTTCAAACGATCCTCTCGTCTTGGCCTCTCAAAGCACTGGGATTACAGGTGTGAGCCACGGAGCCCAGCCTACCTCATGTATTCTTCACACCAGCTCCGTGAGGCAGAGAATATCATTGTCTCCATTCTACAGGTGGGGAAATGAAGCACACCACAGTTAGGTAACCTCCCCAAGGCTAACAGCCAGTAAGTGCTAGAGCTGGGATTCTAACCCAGCAGTACAATTCCAGAATCCACATGCTTAACCATTTTGCCATGCTGACAAAGTTGGGGCTGAACCCCAAGTCTCCTGACTTCTACTTCAATGCCTATCCCAGTCGTATACATGTGTATTGGTACTTATATACACTCCTAACTTTCCCTCTCAGAAGTCTATATAAACAAGGGACATCTGAAGGTGCCTTCTTTAATCAAGTTGCTAGAATTGAGATGCGCATGGGGAATCTGTGTTGGCACTCCACCCTGAGGAGGGCTGTCACCTGAAGAGATAGGCTTCACATCTCACGTGGAAATTTCCTAGGTGTATCCCCCAGTGCAGGCAGCCCTGGGAAAACTGGTTGAAGATGGTGGCAAGGACAGAAATGATGGCTCATTGCCAGTCTATCTGGGGCCTGAGATGAAAGCCCAGGGCTATGGTAGACTCAGCTCAGTGATATGTGGTCAGAGTCCAGGCCATCCCAAGGAGGCGGGTCATGGACCATGGTAGTCATGGAAAACATCTACAACAGGCCAGAGCTCCATAAGGAAGGACTTGAGCTAAACTGGCAATTTGTTAAGAGCTCTAGGTTGCTTGAGACCCATGCTGCCTCCTATCTGCCTTTGACTTAATTCATTCATTTGTATGTTTAATTATTTATTATTTCATCTGGTCATTTGTTCATTCAACAAATGTTTACTGTATCTTCCACATGCTATTCCCCTGCTAGGCAGTGAGATACAAAGACAAAGAAGATGTAGTCCCTACTCTAGAGGAGCTCAAAGTCTAGAAAGATGGGAGAGGGCATGATTCAGAGAATTCCTGGGGAAGGTAACACTGAATAGAGTCTCCCTGGAAAGAGTAGAGAGGGAAGACCAATGAAGACAAAGGAAACACCAAGTGCAAAGCTACACTGACATGAGGGAGGCCAGCTCAGTTGAGTACACGCAAACCTTGCTCATACACCATGAAACCTGAATACGGAGGGTGTGAGTATCAAGGGGTAGAGAGCAAAGCCAGAAAGAGAAATATGCTACCCTACCTTTGTTATAAGGCAGTGGTTGAGCAGTACAGGAGAAAGTGGAGAGGATGCAGGCCTGGGGATCTGGAGACTGGGGTCCAACCTGAGCTCGGTGCTAATTCAGTAGGTGACCTTGGGCAGGTCTCTTCTGCTCTCTTGGGCAGGTCTCTTTGACCTTCTGAAAAATGATGGAATAGAATGATGATGATGTCTTAGGGGCTCTCTTCCAGCTCTATCATCTGTGATTCTAAATCCTTTTATAACAAACTCTAGGAGAGGAGCTTTTCCCTTGCAAATGGAGTGTAAAGTTAATCCTGCCTGTGCTGAGGCTAACTAATGTGCATGTGGGGTTTATCCTACTTCATTAAACCCCGACTCCCCACAGAGCAATGCATGAGGCAGCCTAGGCAGGTAAATACTGAAGTGTTGCTGCACTGGGTCTGTTAGTGGAAAATGATTTCCCCCAACTCTTTCTCAAGTTTATCAACACAAAGCCTATAACCCCGATTTTCCACACTGTTACCTTGCCACACGTGCAGATTTAGACCCAGTCACAGGGTATGGCAAGTCGGATCCTCATACCTTATTTTTGTGGGCATCCTCCACACCCCCCACCGTGATGCCAGCAACATCATTGTTATCCATATGAAGAAACTGAAGTTCAGACAGGTCAGGCCACTTGGTAGGTGAGGCACAGCCTTATGTGATATGTGACCCATATAGTGAGGGTAATGCTTCTGTTGACTGAATACTCACCAAGGAGTGAGAAAAACACAAGCTCTGGGGTAAAGTTCCCATGTGAAAAACTTCCCCAAGGTTCTTGCCATTTGTAAAGATCTTGCAGGTTCCAAGTCACTTTTTGTGTTTTTTTCGAGACATGGTCTCACTATGTGGCCTACGCTGGGGTGCAGTGGTGCGATCTCGACTTACTGAAGCCTCAACCTCCTAGGGTAAGGTGATCATCCTGCCTCAGCCTCCAAAGTAGCTGGAACTACAGATGCTCACCAGCATGCCCAGCCAATTTTTATATTTTTTGTAGAGACAGGGTTTTATGGTGTTGGCCAGGCCGGTCTCAAACACCTGGGCTCTGGTGACTGTCCTGCCTCATCCTCACAAACTGCTGGGACTACAGACGTGAACCACCACACACAGCCACTTTTTCTACAAATGGCTAAAAGAGAACACTCATTCTAGGTTGTCTCTTGAAAACAAACAGTAATTGTCTTGGACTCCCTCAATTCTCCTTTTATTGTGAAGTGTAGTGCAGATACTGAAAATGCATAAAGTATATGTATATACTTTAATGAGTAATTAAAAGTGAATGCTAATAACCCCCATCCTAGCAAGTATATAGAATGTAATGTTGGTTGAAAGAAGCAAGACACAGGCCGGGCACACTGGCTCACACCTGTAATCCCAGCACTTTGGGAGGCCAAGGTCTGCAGATCACTTGAGGCAGGAGTTCAAGACCAGTCTGGCCAAATGGTGAAACCCGGTATGTACTAAAAATAGAAAAATTAGCTGGCCATGGTGGCACGCACCTGTAATTCCAGCAACTCAGGAGGCTGAGGCATGAGAATCACTTGAACCTGGGAGGCGGAGGTTCTAGTGAGCCAAGGTCGCACTACTGCACTCTAGCCTGGAGAACAGAGTGAAACCGTGTCTGGAAATTTAAAAAAAAGAAAAAAAAAGGCAGCATGACACAGAGAATACATCCGGTATAATGCCATTCATATGAAGTTAGTAAAACTAAGAGGCTCAACGTTTTGCAGAAGCGGCCCACTCTTTGCATGGTCCTATGCGGTAAGTAGACCTGACAAGACTTTGTCCTCTTTCACCTCACTGAGGATGAACCCTCTGAGGACAGAGAGGGACAGAGGCATTGATTGTTGCAGCTGGAAGGAAGCTCATATGACAATCGTTCACTCAACCATTCATTCATTTCTCAGATACTTTTGTGGATTTACTATGTAGGGGATCTCTGGGCTGGGAATGTAGGGGATAAGGTATCAGGGGATCTTTCATAGATCTTGTCTTGGAGGAACAGGAAAAGCTAGAATGAGTTGAGTCCTAAATGGAGGAAAGAAGTGAGGGTTGAGGAGGTGCCTGGCTCTGGGCCAGAACATACCCTCAGCGCCTCTGAAAGAGCTGGAGGGGTGCGACCCACCAAGGGTACAAGGCAGAAGAGACTCCTTGGGCCTCAGGAAGAATGGGTAGGCTACTGCAGATGAACCCAGCCAGCCTCCCTGACCAGTCTCTGTATTCAGTCACCTAAGGGTGCTTTATGTGCAAACAATGAATCCCAGAGGAATCAGAATTAGGGTGCAGAATGTGAGAGGAAGGGCCCTGACACTGCCTGCTCCAGTGCCTTTACTTTGTGGATAAAGACGCTAAGGTCCAGAGTGAAGTGGCTTTTCCAGTGTCCCCTGCATAGCTTGAGGGGAGCCCTAGGACTCGAATCCAGGTTCCTGCTTCCCTTACCAGTGTTCTTCTTCCGCCCAGACATGCAACAGTATTTTCCAAGATGAGTTTTTAGAATCATCAGTTTTGATGGTCATGAAATCTGGAAAAGATCTTAGTGGTAATCTGTCTACTCCAGAGGGTCCCAAGCCTGCCTGATCATCAAATCACATGAAAAATTTATTTTTAAAAATATGAACTCTGGGACCCCCAACCCTCAGAGATTAGAGTTTTAGGGTCTAGTAGGAATGGAATTTAGTAGGACAGGTTGGCCATGTATTTTGTTTGCATTTTTTTTGAGACAGAATCTCGCTGTCGCCCAGGCAGGAATGCAGTGGTGTGATCTCAGCTCACTGCAACCTCTGCCTCCTGGGCTCAAGCGATTCTTGTGCCTTGGCATAAGAATCTTGTGCTCCCGAGTAACTGGAATTACAGTGTGCTACCGCACCCAGCTAATTTTTGTATTTTTAGTAGAGACAAGGTTTCACTATATTGGCCAGGCAGGTATCAAACTCTTGACCTCGTGATCCACCTGCCTCAGCCTCCCAGAGTGCTGGGATTACGGGGATAAGCCACCGCGCCCGGCCCCCAGGTGTATTTTTTAAAGCTCTCACTTGCCATCCTCCAGCCCCAGCTGATTCTGATGATTAGCAGGTAGGACGCTCACAGACCTAGCCGACTCTGTCCAGTTGAGAGGAAGAAACTGAGGCCCAGATTAGGCGAGGTAGAGTGACTGGACAAGGTCACATGTCATTCCACCACAAATTCTTCTATTGTCCAGAATAGAATTAAGCCAGCCTGCATATCTAAGAGCCTTGATATGTTAAGAGTGTTTTCTCGGCCGGGCGCGGTGGCTCAAGCCTGTAATCCCAGCACTTTGGGAGGCCGAGACGGGTGGATCACGAGGTCAGGAGATCGAGACTATCCTGGCTAACACGGTGAAACCCCGTCTCTACTAAAAAATACAAAAAACTAGCCGGGCGAGGTGGCGGGCGCCTGTAGTCCCAGCTACTCGGGAGGCTGAGGCAGGAGAATGGCGTGAACCCGGGAGGCGGAGCTTGCAGTGAGCTGAGATCTGGCCACTGCACTCCAGCCTGGGCGACAGAGCGAGACTCCGTCTCAAAAAAAAAAAAAAAAAAAAAAAAAAAAAAAAGAGTGTTTTCTCCCAATATGGTTCTTTAGGTGAACACATTTCATTTTTTGAAGCAGCTTAAAAGATTCCCAGCCACACTGCAAGGCACTCAGATCTGTGCAATATTTACAGTGACTTTGTGGTTCATTAAACAAATTTACCTAAGGAACATGAAAGAAATCATCTTGTTTACAGTGAAATCCTGACAAAAATATGTGTAGCAAAGACAGACAAACATACATAAACCTGGATGGCCGGGTGGGACATGGTTTGCTGCCACATTCAATTTTTCTCATTAGAACTTGTTTTATTTGAGCATGACTCAGTACCCCGTGTAAATGCGAGGTTGTTAATCTTATTAGTATATGGAAAACAAATTAATTAGTATGCATGCTTTTGGAGATGAGTTGTTACATTGGTGTTGGAAAGATTGGGAAAATACACTCATTACTCCAAATGATATCTGATAACACATCTGACTTCCACTTGAAGGTCTGTTCCAATATATGGGCAACAAATATAGCTAATAAAAATCAAGCTTTTGTGTTCAGCAGCTAAATGTTCATGTTGGCCAGATTCACACATGAATAACTGCTTTTCACTGTCCATCATCCAGACTCACCTGCAACAGGCAGCTTCTCAGTTCTCAGGTCTGAGCTCATGTCCAATATCCAAAACCAGCTGAGATGATTTCTTTTCTTGCCTACTACACTTTATTTCTCTCTCTCTCTTTTTTTTTTAATTTTGAGACAGTCTTGCTCTGTCACCCCAGACTGGAGTGCAGTCGTGTGATCTTGGCTCACCGCAACCTCCGCTTCCCAGGTTCAGGTGATCCTCATACTTCAGCCACTGGAGTAGCTGCAATTACAGGCATGCACCGCCACACATGGCTAATTTTTGTATTTTTAGTAGAGACGAGGATTCACCATGTTGCCCAGGCTGGTCTTCACACTCCTGAATTCAAGTGATGCACCCACCTCGGCTTCTCAAAGTGTTGAAATTACAGGCACGAGCCACTGTTTCCAGCCAATCTTTGTATCTCTTCCCAGTTCACCTGCTCCCTTCTTTCAGCAGTCATAATGAACACACCTCATTTTTCCAGAAGACTGTAAACTCCCTGAGGGTAGAGACTATATTCCAATTAGAGAGTCAAATACATATTGATCAGAATACCCTGCTGCAGGAAAAATATACGAAGAACAACAAGGAAGCCCTTAAAGTACCAGTGTGGAACAATCACCAAGATATATTGTTAAGTGTACACATACCTCTGCAAGCATACGGTGACACTGATTACCAAGTAAAAAATAAGTAAATAAATAAACAACACACACTAAAAGTAAAATCTAATAAAAAGGATATATTTCCTCAAAGTAAAAACAAACAAAACCAACCAAATACCCACAAAACACTAAAACTAAATAATAAAAAATTGTCATTTGGGGTATCAGTCTATAGGAAATCGTTTAATTAAAAAAAATCTGTTTCACATTAACATATTGTTACCCAGACTATTTCATCAGGGATCTCCAAAAGAAACATAAGGTATCCAGTGTTTCTCAAATGGTTCTCATTGCTTTTAAAAACTGTTCACTTAAGGGTCAGGCACAGTGGCTCACGCCTGTAATCCCAGCACTCTGGGAGGCTAAGGCAAACGGACTGCTTGAGCTCAGGAGCCGAGAACAGAGCCTAGGCAAGCAGTTCAAGACCAGCCTGGACTACATGGTGCAACCCCATCTCTACCAAAATGCAAAACATTAGCTGGACTTGGTGCCGTTTTCCTATAGTCCCAGCTACTCAGGAGTCTGAGATGGGAGGATCACTTGAGCCTGGGAGAGGAGGCTGCAGTAAGCCAAGATTGTGCCACTGCACTCCAGCCTGGGCGACAGAGTGAGACCCCATCTCAAAAAAAAAAAAAAAAAAAAAGAAAAGAAAAAATATTCATTTTTTAATATCTCACAATATACAAGTTGCCCACTTATATACTCTAGGCAACATTTTTAAAGTAGTTTTTTTTTTTTTCATTATTTATTTATTTGTTTTCGAGACAGGGTCTCTCTGTCACCCAGGATGGAGTGCAATGTTGCAAACATGGCTCACGGCAGCCTCAACCTCCTGGGCTCCAGTTATTCTCCTAACTCAGCCCCCCAAGCAACTGGGACTACAGGTGCACACCATCATACCATGCTAATTTTTGTGTTTTTCTGTAGAGACAGGGTTTCACCATTTTGCCCAGGCTGGTCTCGGCTCCTGAGCTCAAGCAAATCCACCTGCTTTGGCCTCCCAAAGTGCTGGGATTACAGGTGTGAGTCATGGCACCCAGCCTAGGCACCATTTTAAACCAGAAGGTAGATCCTAACTCTGCTGTCAGCTCCATGAATGAACCCGGGAAAATCCTTGCTCTTCTTTGGGCCTGTTTCTCCATCTCCATTCTCCCAGTAGAATGAGATTATCTCTGACGTTCCGTCCAACTCTGAAAGTCACAGATTCTCTGGCAAACAAAATATATCAAAAGTCTCCTCCAAAGTAAGCACATGCTTTGAATAGCAATTGGAGGCTGAAAGGTCTATGAGGCCTGTTCAAATAAGTTACAAATGTACCTGATGTGAACATGCTTTCCTAGCTTCAAAACCCAGAAGACATTCCAGGAGGTTATAAGAAACCAATGCATCATCTTTGGTTCACAACAGCTGATGATATTACCAAAGTCTCAGCATTTCCACTTACTATTGGGCAAAATCCTGAGTTGAAACTGAGTTTCCTCAGCTGCAAAATGGGTATAATAATTGCTTTGCCTCTTTCCCAGATTCTTGGTATAGGCACTTAATTTATGACAGCAACAGAGATAAGAGAATCAAGAGCCTGCTACGGGCTTGGCAAGCCATTTGTAAAAATGAAGTAAAAATGTTGCTTATCAAGTTACATTTGTTGCTGATTTCCCTTGGTTGTGGCAAGAGCATGGTATGAGACTATCCTACTCATCCATTACTAGAGGCAAAGTAAATGTATAAAAAGCCTTTGGCAAAGCAATTTGTCCATATATATCAAGAGCCATGCAAGCATTCAGGCCCTTTGACCCAGCAAATCTAGATCTGGGGATTTTACAGAAATGACAAAAATAGGAGAACGTGATATGTATGAAGACATGCACTTTGGGATTATCTGTGATAGTGAAAAATTGCAGTCCTTCTAAATATATAATACTAGGGAATGATATATCCACTCAAAAGAGTATTAAGCAGCCATTAAAATAATTATTAAAACATTTATTTTTAAATGATAATTATGAAGACCTGTGGCATTATAATGATAAACTGTCAAGTGAGAAAGCCGAATGAATAGGAAGCTGTAACTACACTCATAAATCACCTATGTAAATTTTGCCTGAAGTAAGAGGAGCACCGAACAGTTCATTTGTTACACTGGTAGAATTATGGATAATTTTCTTCCGTTTTAATTTCCCTTATTGTTGTAACATTACAAAGTAAATAAAAATCTGGGAAAAAATACAATAAAGGCAACAGATAGGTACACTGTGTTGTATCCTTCGTAAATCCTTTCACTGAAGAAAGGGATTAAATGTGGCTTACCATAGCAAATCATAAAATAAGACTCACATTTTGCATTTCCTCTAGATCCTCCTACCTCTCTGAGAATAAATTAAAATATAAACACAAGAGCTGAGTTTTTAAAATTAGGATTATCTCAGCCTGGCCGCATAGCAAAACCCCATCTCTACTAAAAATACGAAACTTAGCCAGGCATGTTGGTGGGCGCCTATAGTCCCAGCTACTTGGGAGACTGAGGCAGGAAAATCATTTGACCATGGGAGGCAGAGGTTGCAGTAAGCTGAGACTGCAACACTGCACTCCAGCCTGGGCAATAGAGCTAGAGTCCGTCTCAAAATAAATAAGTAATTAAAAAAATAAAATAAAATCCAGGATTATCTCATTATTCTATTTAAAACATATAAGGAGAGAAAATACGCTTTTTTCTTCTGGATTAAGTTTCCCTGGCCAAGTTCCATATGTCTGTTCTTCCCTATTGGCAGGTCATGGGTCTCCCTTCCTACCACAGGAGTTTCTCAACCTGTTGACTTCTCTCGGCTATCGCACAGATGGTGGTGAAATCATTAGATTGAAGGAAACCCAACAGTTCTTGCTTTGTGAAATGAGCATGCTATTTCTGCCCAGGCTACCACTTGGGTCTGGGATCAGGATCTCCTGAGATGATGTGCAGGAAGACACAGAAGTGCTTTGCAAATCCTCCAGAGCTGTGTCCATTTGGATCTTTTTTCTTTAGGAGTCAATGTAACATAATGGAGGACTACAGGGATAGAGTGGACTTAGGGGAGTGGAGAGATGGGGCCTGGGTTTTAGGCAACCCTAAAGTGTTAGTGGTCAAACGATTTGTGTGGAAAATCAGACTGGCTTTCAAATTCCAGCTCTGCCGTCTCCTAACTGTGTGATCCTGGGCAACTCCCAGTGTCTGAGCCTCAGAGATGAGGCTTCATCTGTGAATCCAGAGCACTAACAAAACTGGCTACACAGGTTTGTTTTGAGGATGGAATATGATCATGTATGCAAAGCACAGTGCCCAGTGAGTGTCTAAGAGATGTCCGTTTTCTCATTAGTCTTGCCCCTCCCATGAACTCACTGTAGAACCTATGGCAATTCTATTTCCTTCTCTGGGCCTTAGTGTCTCCATCTGCAAAATGGGAGAAGAGGAGGACTCAACTGTCTCCCAGGGCTGTTTTAGCATATGGGCCTGTGGTTTCACAGTGGTGGTTGTAGCAATATCCTAAAGGCAAAATCCATCTCTACAAAAAATACAAAAATTAACTGGGTATGGTTGCACATGTCTACAGTTCCAGCTATCTGGGAGGATTGCTTGCGCCTGGGGTCAAAGCTGCAGTGAGCCACGATTGCACCATTGCTCTGCAGCCTGGGTAAGAGAGAGACCTCGTCTCAAAAGAAAAACAACAAACAAACAAAAAAACAGAAAAAAACAGAGTGGAAGGTATAAGCCCATGTTTGCCACAATGATCATGAACTTATCATGTAGTTATGAAGACTTTTATCAAAATATTTGCCTATTAAGTCTACTCATTCTCTCATTTTAGCTTTATAACTTTAATGGAAAAAAAATTTTTTTTTTTTTTTGAGACGGAGTCTCGCTCTGTCGCCCAGGCTGGAGTGCAGTGGCGCGATCTCGGCTCATTGCAAGCTCCGCCTCCCGCGTTCACGCCATTCTCCTGGCTCAGCCTCCCGAGTAGCTGGGACTACAGGCGCCCGCCACCTCGCCCGGCTAGTTTTTTGTATTTTTTAGTAGAGACGGGGTTTCACTGTGTTAGCCAGGATGGTCTCGATCTCCTGACCTCGTGATCCGCCCGTCTTGGCCTCCCAAAGTGCTGGGATTACAGGCTTGAGCCACCGCGCCCGGCCAAAATTTTTTTTTTTAACCAATAAAGTAATTAAGTTACCCAAAGTCAAAGCTAACTACTGCAGAGTCCTAACAGACCCAATAACAACCACTAATTGAGAACCTATGACCATTACACCTCATTCAGAAGTGACCTTTTAAACCGTATTTGAGGGATGAGTAGGTGTCAGCCAGGCAAGTTGGAAATTAACTCACACAGGGGGGAAAGAAAAAAACTGCGTATGTGAAGACCCGGATCAAATAAAATATCATATATTTGAAAACCTTAAATTCAAATATGTAACCCACTCTACTCAAATTTTAATTAGTTATCAAGTCCTGGTTGACTGCCTAATAAATTTCAGGAATTCATCAACTGCCTCTAGATGATTTCTCCATCCTGTAAAGTTATATCTAAAACTTTTATGTACATGTTTTTGGGAGAAAAGGGATTTGACATAAAACAGAAGACTTACTGCCCTAAGTTGTTGAAGCTATAATTTCATTTCAATTTCAAAAGCCATTTACCTTAATCAAGCCATTATCTCACTTCAAATAATACTATGTAAAGAGCTCTAATCTATACACAAAAGCAGAATACTAATTAAATTTACCCATGATCTGTTAGGTATCCCCTATGTGCCAAATGCTGACAAACTAAAGGGGCTATGTTCCAAATTATACATATTGAAGGAGTTCTACGTTATCACACTGTAAGACTCACAAACTAGGAATATGGCATCTTAAACTCTTAAAAATGTCATATTCTTCCATTTTCAAAACAAATATTCTTTTAAAATCCTGAGCCTGGCCAGGCACGGTGGCTCACGCCTGTAATCCCAGCACTTTGGGAGGCCAGGGCGGGAGGACCGCTTGAGGTCAGGAGTTCGAGCCCAGCCTGGCCAACATGGTGAAACCCCCAACTCTACTAAAAACTACTAAAAATACAAAAATTAGCCGGGCGTGATGGCGCACGTCTGTAATCCCAGCTACTTGGGAGGCTAAGGCAGGAGAATCGCTTGAACCCGTGAGACAGAGGTTGCAGTGAGCCGAGATCATGACACTGTAATCCAGCCTGGGCAAGACAGTGAGACCCCGTCTCAAAAAAAAAAAAAAAAAAAAAAAAAAAAAAAAAAAAACCTAAGCCTTAATAATTTTTTGCTGAACCTAAATCTTACAAAATTATTAAATGAGAAAGAAACATTATGACCAGGAACAAGAAGAAAGCATGCTTCTGAAAGTGGAATTAGACTTTTTATTTGTTTAAAATACATTTTAAGACTGTCACAGTGGGCCAGGCGCAGTGGCTCACGCCTGTAATCCCAGCACTTTGGAAGACTGAGGCGGGTGGATCACGAGATCAGGAGTTTGAGAGACCAGCCTGACCAACATGGTGAAACCCCATCTCTACTAAAACTACAAAAATTAGCTGGGCATGGTGGCGCATGCCTGTAATCCCAACTACTCAGGAGGCTGAGGCAGGAGAATTGCCTGAACTTGGGAGGCGGAGATTGCAGTGAGCCGAGATTGCACCACGGCACTCCAGCCTGGGTGACACACGAGACTCTGTCTCAAAAAAAAGAAAAAAAAAAAAAGGTTGTCACAAGTGTACTATTCATCAACCATTTTAAAAGAGTAGATAGTATTCCACCACTTATTAAGAAAGAGGGAAGCTGGGCACAGTGGCTCACGCCTGTAATCCCAGCACTTTGGGAGGCCGAGGCAGGTGGATCACCTGAGGTTGGGAGTTTGAGACCAGCCTGACCAACATGGGGAAACCCCATCTCTATTAAAAATACAAAATTAGCCGGGCATGGTGGCGCATGCCTGTAATCCCAACTACTCGGGAGGCTGAGGCAGGAGAATTGCTTGAACCTGGGAGGTGAAGGTTGCAATGAGCCAAGATCATGCCATTGCACTCCAGCCTGGGCAACAAAAGCGAAACTCCGTCTCGAAAGAAAAAAAAAAGGAAGAGGGAAAGAGGGGGCCGAGCACAGTGGCTCAAGCCTGTAATCCCAGCCCGAGGCGGGTAGATCACCTGAGGTCAGGAGTTCGAGACCAGCCTGGCCAACGTTGTGAAACCCAGTCTCTACTAAAAATTCAAAAAATTAGCCAGGCATGGTGACCGGCACCTGTAATCCCAGCTACTCAGGAGGATGAGGCAGGAGGACTGCTTGAACCTGGGAGGCGGAGGTTGCAGTGAGCCAAGGTTGTGCCATTGCACTCCAGCCTGGGCAGTAAGAGCAAAACGTTGTCTAAAACAAATAAATAAATAAATAAATTTAAGAAAGAGGGAAAGAGGGTACAAAGATATACAGTTTTTTGCATATATATATATATTTTTTTAAATGTAAGGACCAATCACCAATTTTCTCTTAATAGTTACCCATAAGGAGAAGGGCAGGAACAGGATGGAGACTGGACAGAAGGTTTGCCTTCTCTGAATAGATTTTATTGTGTTTTGGTAATCTGAATTTGGAACTTTATAAGCATTTTACATGATTATAAAATTAAATCAAAATTTTAGGAGGTAATTCTAAAAAACAATGTATCAAAAGCAAAATGAAACAAATGAAACTGTCTATCAAGTTGACGATCTAACAGAAAGAAAATCTGAATTTAATCAAGCTTCTAGATCTAACTACCAACTCAGAAAATAAGAGGACACTGGAACATGTCAAACAATACTACATAATTCAGACTACAGGAAATTCTAGAAGACAATCTATTTAGTACAATAAATTACAAGGAATTTAATAAAGAAGAGATAAAAGAGAACCTATAGATTAAAGGACACTTAAGTTATCAAACATTACAGTATATGAACTGATTCAGATTCAAATAATCTGTAAAAAAAAGTAGGAGCCAATCTAGAAAATCTGAACACTGGGTATATGAGGATAAAAGAATTATTGGTAATTTGTTTAGCTGTGATAATAATATTTTTTTAAAAAAAAGAATATTTACCTTTCAGAAATATATGTATGTGTGTGTGTATGTGTATGTGTGTGTATTCACATATACATACACACGCAGTCAGCCTTCTATGTCAATGGGTTTAACTGACCTTGAAATGAAAATATTTCACACACAAAAAAAATTGCAGCCATACTGAACGTGAACATTTTTCTTGTCATTATTCCTTAAATAATACAGTTATTTACGTGGCATTTACATTGTTTTACGTATTACAAGTGATCTAGAGATGATTTAAATAATACGGGATGTACACAGGTTATATGCAAATATTCCACCATTTTGTATCAGGGACTTGAGCATCCATAGACGCTGGTAGCCATGAGTGGTCCTAGAACCAATGCCTCACAGATACTGAGGGACACGTGTGCATGTGTTTAAAGATTGGTCAGAATTTAGTAACTGCTGAAGCTGGCTTATGGGACACTGAAGTCAATTATATAACATTTTATTTTCGTATATATATTTTTGATTTCCACAATAAAAAATGTAGAATAGTAATTACTTCTACAACTAATAATATCTCTTCCTTAACCAATAAAATAAGTAGCTGATTTTTCCTCCATAATTCCTATAGCATTTATTGTCTCATGTCATCATTTGGTTGTCTTATATAACAATCCTTCCCAAATTTGAGATCCCCCTCAAAAATTATTAAACATGCTGACTTCCTTGGGTGGATCTTTTCTTCAATCAGGAGATCTGCCTTTCTAACATACGAGAATTACAAGTCACTGCTACTGGGGATAATAAAAGGGAATCAAAAAGGAAAACAAATGATAGAACATCCATAGTTTTTATAAAGAAGGCTGAGGAAAGAGTAAAGGAAGTACACGAAAAGACGCTCAGACCTTAGAAATAAACTCCTACATCCCTCAGTAGAAAGAGCTGAAAGTCATATGTAACAGGCACTGAAAGTCTATGTTTTGGCATGAATTTACTACAGGCAAAGCCACCATCATATATCTATATGTACCAAGGAAGGCTAGACTGTTAAGTGTCACGTATATATAGTCTCAATGGAGCCTAAGGAAGCTAACCAATAACTTCAGATCACAAAATCAGAGAAGTGCTAAACATTTAGAGGAAGAATAGAAAGGAAAAAAACGCCTCCGAGTTGTATATTATTTGTCAGATAAGCAAAACAAATGTGTAAGCCCACTTATATTTAATAATGTCTCACTGAAATTAAAAGTAATAGCGGAGAGTTTGAAGTTTCCACAGATAAAGAGATAATGCTATACTCAAATTTACTACAAATAATAGTAAATGTAAAATATGTATTTATACAGTCTTTCGTAGACTTATGAACTATCTAAAATTCACAAATCCTATTTTTTAAATAAAGTTTTAAGTTTCAACCACTTGTGTCACCAGAATTTTGAGACTTAACTCCCATGGTTAAGGGATTTCCAAGCTGTGTTCTCACCTGTAGTCCCAGCTACTCTGAAGGCTAAGGCGGGAGGACCACATGAGCCCAGGAGTTCCAGACTAGCCTTGCTCTATTTAAAAAGCAAGACTCCACTGCCAAAAGAAAAAAATAAAAAATAAAGAAGGGAATTCCATAAATTACTTGGCTTCTTATATTCTGTCTCTTCAGTGAAACAGTACATCACTTACAGCTAAAACTAAACTATGTCTTTTATCACTGTAAGTCCCCAGTACTGCTTACACCCTACACAGAGTAGATGCTCAATAAATGTTTGATGATTTGGCAATTAATGGGATAGGAGGAAATATTAATATAAGTGTCAACAAATTACTCCGAATATCCTAAGTAGGTTTATGAGTATGGAAAAGACCCACCCTCAAGGAGTTTGTGATCTCTTCTCTTACATCATACTGCTGTTTTCAATGTGCCATAATTTTTTTTGGGGGGGTGGGGTCAGGGAAACAACATAAAATAGCTATGGATGCTGTCTAACAATCAGCATGTCATAAGCAGTTGAGAATTTCTGTACTTTCACAAAAATGAAAAAATCTCTCTAAAGATTAGTATGTGAGCCCAATCTATCCCCAAATCTTTTTTTTTTTTAAATATGGGGAACTGATTATGTTCACTTGTAACCTGTCATTCCAAAATTCTTCAGAATGTTTAATGTTCAAGTGTCCATATTCCCAGTCCCTGTTCTACTGGATGCCTGGCGGGGTGCAACCATCTGAATGAGTGGAAGTATAACGTCTGCACCAGGTATTATATTAGGAGCCTTGAACTCAGAATATGTCTGATTAAGTCTTTTAGCCCAATAATTTGCCACTGCTGCCAAGTTTGGTAATTTTGAAGGACAAAGTTCAACCATAATGGGGTGACACAGGGCACCCCCATACTCAAAAAACTTTCAAATGCTTTCTAAAGAAGTTTCTCTTTCTCCTTGAATACAACAGTATCAGTCACAACTGATGGCAGTACAATAGATCCATCCATACACTGCTCTAAGAACATCTTGATGGTATAATATGCTGTCATTTGCGCTCTACCTGCTACTAGTTTAATTTGGTCAAGTAGCTCTTTCCCTGGAGACTCGAATTCTACTAGACTCAAATTCTATTAGACCAAAGACAAATGATCTCAGCCAGGGTCTTGACTTAAGCCAATCAATCACTGGCCTTGCATTATAACTGAGCAACAAGTTGGCACAATCACCACGTGCTGGTTGCTGGAGAGCTACCATTAGGGTCTTGAATTGCTTCTGAACCTGGAAACTGTTGGCACGGATTCTGTCACTTGACCCCTACTACTATGCCAATGCCAATCAGTAGATCACAACAGTACAGTACAGATAGTAGCTGCAAGGATGTAAATTGCAGATCCTTCCCTTTGTGGCTTTGGCCATACAGCATTTTAGTTTTGTTCTTTCCACCAAATGAAGTCACAGGGTATGACTCCTTGGAAACTCCAACAGTTAAGAGATTCTCATGTATTCCATGAAATAAAAACCAAAGAAAAGTCAAACTTGTCTTAATGAGATGGAAGTGTTGGATCAAACATTGATTTAGCTGTTCTGTGTCCTCCACCTCCCCAATGCCTGAATGTGGTTCATCTGCATCAGATGGATACTGTCCAAATTTGCCACTTGGCTCAAAAGACTGCTGCCCAGTGAATGGTATTGCAGATAGAGGCTCAGAGGATACGTATCCATGGGTTCCTCCATGGTGAACAATGGTCTTGGTTGCTGAAGCGATTGTTTCTGATTGGTTCCTATGCCCAGATCTACTTGTGAAAGGAATAATAATGATTAGAGAGTAACAGCACACTTAAATGGGCATCGGTACTGAATATATTGCTTATTAATTAGAAAGAAATAGGATTACAACATTATTGGATTAAGGAAATAAAATAGAGAACATGTATTTGAATATTTGTAAGAGTGTACAAAAGTCAAGTTAATTTTCAAAAATGCAAAATTTGATTTTATTTGGCTAAAATTAAAAAAACAAATGGTAGGAGCAAACAGTAGGTTTTCTCTACTTTCTCATCACCATCATTTACCAGTCATGACATTGTTCAACTTCTTCAATGAATCCCACACCTAATTCATATTTTTCCCAATCTATCCACAGTCTCCCATCAACTTCAGCATCTCTGTAGATTCTCTACTCCAAGCAGAAATCAGCAGAGAGCTCCTTTCAAAGGAACGATAAGAAGCTTTCTTTTCAGTAGGTTAAATGTGAAATAGTAAGATACCCAAATGAAAATATTCAGTAAGGTGTAAAAGGGGAACATGAAATCAACAAAATGGTTAAGAAAAGGAGATGCCAATTTGATCACCATAGAGAAGTGATTAATGAAACAGGGTGTGATCTCAGGAAAAGGTAATTTAAAGAAAGAATAAGCTAAATGTTTATTCTGACCTTCTATATAATGTTATGCCTAACCCTAGATCATTTTGCTTCTGTCATCTTGCTCAAAGCTGCCAAGTACTACTGGATAAAAAGTTATAGAATCCTTCAAAGTGTTCATTATAAGTTCATTTTAATTTTGACAGAATACTACTTCTAAGCAATCCTTTATTCTCTTATTGTTGATTCATTAGAATGCAATGATTTCTAACTTACGAGCTTTCAGCCTCCTGGGAAGCTGTTAAATTAGTTATCTTGTTGGGTACCCAGGGCAATGCATTACATAAAGACTATCTCTCACATACATGTATTAACATTTTTCAAATGTGCAGTCAATGTTGTGGTTAACAAAATACAAAGTCATCTAAGAGAGAACTGAGTAGTAGCTTTTTTTTAATATGCATATTCTCCATTGATGAATACTAAAAATGTAACTACAATGATGGGGTGGTCCACAAATTGTTTCGAGGTTAAACAAGGTGTCATCTTCAAAATACTGGTAACCACTGCCTGAAAATATTCTCCACAGTACTAAAACATCCTTTCCCCATTCTAAGCTTCCAATTATCCTCTGCCCTCTCCTACTTCTGCTTTCATTTTCCTAAGGAAATCAAACAAATCCTCATAGGTACTCTCATCTACCTCAGTGCATCTGAATTTATTCTTTCTCCTCTACCTCTATACCTCTATAAATATTTGATGATTTTGCAATTACTGTTGTCTCTCTTCCCTTTGAGAAATAATTCAACAACATGTATACCTGATCCTCTCTCTAACCTGGCCCCCCACCAAAAACATCAAACAGGTTTAGTCACAAGTTTCTTCCTTTCTACCTAAAAACATTATTAGATCTTACCTATATGGAAAAAAAATTATTTGATCTGCTATATGTTCTAACTACTATTTATCTCTTCTTTTTGCTGTCAAGTTCTCAGGGTTAGCAAACTACAGTCTGAGCCAGCCACCTGTTTTTGTAAGTAGGGTTTTATTGAGAACAGCCACCCCCATTTCTATAGGTATTATCGAAGGCTACTTTCCCACAAGGGCAGAGTTGAGTAGTTAAGATATCATATGACTTAAAAACCTAAAATATTTTCTATCTGGTTTCTTAAAAAAAAAATTTGCCAATCCCAGGGGCTCCAAGTATGATCTACATTCAATGCCATCGTTTCCTGGGGAAGCAGGATGCCATTAAAAATTTTGGAGCAATAAGGTACCATGAATAAAAGAGCATTTTAATACCAGTTTTAACAACAGCATATAGGGCAGATATAAAAGAAGACCACTTCAGAAACTAGTGCAAGAGACTGAGCATTAGGCACAAAGGGAGGAAAATGAAAAGAATGAACTTTTTGAAGGAATAAGCATTAAGCTACATGACCACATTATCATAGAGACAAAGCTAGCAGCAAAATTTTAATCCTTGATGATGTAGCTTTCAAAATTTGCATTCTCTCCTATAATCTACCCTATGCGAATAGCTCTTCATATTTTCCTCTTTCCAACTGTGAAGTTACTAAAATCCTAACACTAATTCCATATATTCTGTGTGCCAGGCATTCCCCATGCTTGCTGTCTAACTCCTGGGTAAGCAAATCTGGTAGTCAACAGGCAGTACCAACAGAATTGGTTGAATGAGAACACAGGGCCAATGTCAGAGGTGGATGAGTACTCACCTGTACCTCCCACCTTGGGAGGCTGAGGGAGGATAGCTTGAACCCAAGTGTTCAAAGTTGACAGTAAGCTATGATCACACCACTGCACTCTAGCCTGGGTGACAGAGCAAGACCCCATTTAAAAAAAAAAAGAAAAACCAAACTGATAAACCTATTTACTCCTGTGCTAGTTATAAAAATGTGTATAAAATACAAACGTAATAAAGACCAAAAATTGAGAGAAAACTCCCAACTTTGGGAATAAATGCATAAAGTGAAACACTTAGTACTGTGAGCATATTAAATCCTTCTCAGCCTTCATCTTTTAAACTCGGCTCAAAATCACTTCCCACCAGATTAAATTAAATGCCCCTTTTATAGGCTTCCATAGCACTTCACATTTCACAACACTCATCACATTTCTAATTATTTATTCAATGTAAATCTCCCAGAAGCACAGACCACAAACCCCAGGAGGGGCAGGAACTATATACACTCTGCTAAACAATGAATCACCAAAGCCAAGCAGAGTAACTGGTATTTTGGGGGCCATCTATAAGTATCTATTGATTTCACAAATGAAATATAACACCAGGCATTTGTTCTTCAGCCCTCATAAATCTAGTATGTGCTTAAAATACAGAAATTATGATAGGATAAATTTCTCTGCTGTCTTTCAACTATTCCAAAGTCTTAGAAATTCTTGTATCTACACAGATGTTTCCATTAGGTACTGACGGACTACTGATTAAAAAGAGAGCTCTTGAAAAATAAGTGTGTGTCCAAAAATCAAGGACAGCTCAGACAGCAATAACAATGCCAATTTATTCTTTTTTCCACTTGTAGCTATACACATAAAATTAAAAACAGTTGTTTGCTTAGCCACTCAAATTTCTGCCCAAAATGTCAGGGTGTTGTGATGGTAGTTCTATTAATAGAACCACCTTAATCCCAAGAACCAAATGGACAAGGGCCAAAAAGGTACTACATTCTTGCTAGAGTTTTTTGTTTTCCAGAAATAAATAAACCAACCTGTAATGCTTTTCTTCTAAAAGGTATCATATGCCTGTGCCCTTGTTGTACTGTCCTTCAGGTGGCTATGCTGTTATTATCACACAAATTGAATGTGGCTGTCTGAATAATGCTCATAGCATTTATCAGTTTATATTGAATTGTTAGCCTCAGAGGAATTCAAATAAAAGATGAATCCTTTCCTTTTTATTTAATAGGTAAATTAATTCTAAAAGAAGTCAAAGGAATTATGCTTCTTTCAAAATCCTCACTGGATCCATCCTGAGGATCCAGTGTGAACTTAAGATAAAACATAATTCCAGTGCAGCACAGAAAAAAATTAAAGAGCTAAATTACAGAGTTACAAATTTGTACTCCTCCTGGAGCCATCCCAAAGGAAAGGGATTAAGAATAGAGCCATAGGCACACCGGTGAATGTATGCCAAAAATAAACTACAGAACCATAATAAAAACTGAATTCCTTGCGTCGAAGGATTTATCTCTTTCCCTGAAATGTAAAAAATGAATTTAACAGTTTAGCCCCTATGGCCTTTAAGAGGATTTTGTACCTTCTGTACTTGAAAATTGTGCTGGGCATAATGTGCTCTCTTATTTAGGTAGCTTATATATGCCAGGGTTAAGGTCTGCCTGAGGCTGTTTTGGTTTATGTTACCGCTTTAATTACATTCAAATGAATTTAATTTACTTGTTTAAAAAAGAGTATTCTCAGAGGACAACATATATGTTTTTTACATACACACACACAAACCCTTGACTCAGAAGGCTTTCTTGGCTTTTTGATCCCTGTACGTGACTCCCAAGTATACTAACTAGATAACAAAATCAGATTATCTCATACAAACTCCTCAATCTACCCACAGGAAACTTAAGTACAAAGAGATAGGAAGCCTATCCGAGGTCATGCGGCCGGTTAAGAACACAGCTAGAAGTGATTCACATTTCTGTGATTCTCAACCAACTGTTCACTAACATTTTTAAATACAATTTTCAAATAAGTAATTTCAAATAAAAAAAAAGTCTTCCTTCATTCCAATATTTGCATTGGTTCTAACACCTAAGTTTACCTCACAAATATCCATTTTACCTCCCAGCAGAGTTTAAAAACTATGAATGAGACATTTTAGTTGGAAGGAAAACACACATTTGTCAGTTTATCATCAAAGAATCTCCCAAGTTAGTACTCAAAGACTTTATCAATCCCATGACCAGAAAAAATGTTTCTTATATAAGATCCTAAAATATAATGGAAATGGAAATGAAACTTATCTAAGAATTAAAATAGCTTAACAAATATAAAACAGTTATAGAATAACTGCAAAGGCTCTTCCCATTCAAAAGAGGGAGCAGTATTCATTGACCGAATTGTTTTAAACTAGACATCTTAAGGCTTATTTAAGCTTTCAGAATTTACTTTTTTGGGGGGGACGGAGTTTCGCTCTTGTTGCCCAGGCTGGAGTGCAATGGCGCGATCTCGGCACACCGCAACCTCTGCCTCTCAGGTTCAAGTGATTCTCATGCCTCAGCCTCTCAAGTAACTGGGATTACAGGCATGTGCCACCATGCCCGGCTAATTTTTGTATTTTTAGTAGAGACGGGGTTTCTCGATTTTGGTCAGGATGGTCTGGAACTCCTGACCTCTGGTGATCCCCCCGCCTCGGCGTCCCAAAGTGCTGGGATTTACAGGCATGAACTACCGTGCCCCGCCCCACTTCATACAAACTTTAATCAATCCTTCTGCTCTCACAGTCTACCTACTGGTCATTCTGACCTTTTGCTTACTTCCAAAGCACCTTTAGCCTCCCTAGATGTTCCTTCTTGATGACATAGGCATTCCTTTCAGGCCGATTTAAATCAAAACCACAGCCTCATTTTCAGTCCAAATGTCATTGGAATGTGATGAATATACTTTCAACGTAAAATTTCTTTCTTACTCTTAATAAGCTGTCCTCATAGTGACAGGTGAAACACAACTGACTAAGGGGTTAAAATGTCCATTTTTCAAATGCGACGGCCACTCTGAATCAAATCTGAGATTGGGGTGGAGAATCCAAATGTGTAAAACAAAGGTCACAAAAGACAGAACACAGTATTTCGGTGGGAAAAAAATAAGCTAAATTTAGTCACGTAAGTCCCAGCTCTTCTTGGGATATAGACATGATTTTCATGAGAATTAATCCTATCCGGAAACATTTCCTTCACCTTTCCCTTAGCCCTTTTCCTTCGGTCATGCAGTCTCTTACCCTGATACCTAACATACTACTATAATCATCACTTGCGATCCTTCCTGAGTTTATTCCTCATCTTCAGATTCCCTTGAAAGCAGCAATGCTAAACTGTCTCCAAAGCATAATGCTTTCCTAAATATACACACAATCCATTTAAAAGTCTTTGTATGTGACAGCCTAACTATTCAAAACACGAAGTCACTTCTCTAACGGTCTTAGATAAAAGTTTAAAAAGAAAAAGAAAACCACAAAGTCAAGAGCTTCTGAGGGGACCTGAAAAGTCATCAAACTGAACGCTCTCGTTTTATAGTTGGAGAAACGGGCTCAGATAAACTTACTGAGCGAAAAAGGCCCTAATGGAGCCCCTAATTCAATAGTGTAATCTGAAATAATCTTAAATCCAGCCTCAATATGAGCTTTTGGGAGTCGCCAGCGAGTTCGTGGGGGAGCCACGGCTAGAACACAGGCCTCCTGATTCCCAGCCACAGCTTTTCCACCGAACCGGCAGCTCTTCCCGAAAGTTGAAGGCAACTGTCCGCTCACAGGATGGGAGGGATAAAGGGCGCCTTAGTAAACACAGTCCAAGTCTACTTGTTTTACATGAGGAAAGGGACACAGCTCCCGAAATCTTGGATTCCACGGCTGCAGCTGCTGCTTCTGACAGCAGAGGCGGGAGGTGGCCCGGGACTACTCGGTCCTCAAAGACTGGATTCCCTCTCGGCGCGTCGAGATCTCTGCGCTTCACTGACTGGCTTCCCTACAAGACTGGGTGTCTTGCGGGGAAGTAAAAACGGCAGACACGCCACCCCCACCGAGGCCCCGGACGCCCAGCCGCTCCAGAATCACGGCCTTAGCCCTTGGAGGGCCAGGGAGACGCGGACCCCCAGACCCGCAGCCCGGCAGCGTGGGTAGGCGCGCAACTGAGGAACCAGGAGCTGCGCCCTGCCACGAGTGAGGGGCGGACGGGAGACGTCGAGGCTGGCGAGGGGGCACGCGCTAGTTCCACAGCCCGGCGGGAGAGACGTAGGGTAGGCAGGCGTCCCAGGCCGCGGGTGGTTCGGGGTCCGTCACAGACATACTCACTGCCGCGGTTGCAAACAGGAAGCACCAGCCGGGAACCAAAACGCGTAGAGAGACGGGGAGGGGCGACGACAAATGAGGTAAGGAGTCCGCGTCCACGCAGACCCGGGAGGAGGGAAGGCATTTCCGGGACAACCCGGCTCTCGGCGTCGCCTTTCTGTGTCCGCCCACCTGCCGCGCCTGCTGTGCGCATGCGTACTGAGTGCGAACCCTTTCTCTGCCCCGCCTATCATCTTTAGGTTTGCCTTCTTTGCTTTGCCCCTTCCCCTTCCCATCTTCTCTTGAAGTTACCTAGGCTGCGTCTATTATTTGAATGACTCGTACGGAAAAGATGCTATTTACCGGGCAAAAGCCGCGGAGTTCGTGCCCTGTTATGTCCGCAAGGAAAACTACAAGTCCCATGAGGACCCAGGCGGGATTGAGGCCGGGCTCTGCCTCCTTCTCCCTGGCGCTCGGTGGACGCCCCCCCAGTGCCACGTGGCGCGGGAGCCGAGCTGATTGCCTGCGTGACGAGGGCCGTGGCGGCTGGCAGCTTGGCCCGCGGTCCTGGGTAGCCCTGGAGCGGGAAATGCCTCCTTGAGAGCGCATGGCTTCAAGCTTCTTCCTTGCGCTCCTGATCTTAGGCTGGTCGCTTTTACCTTTAGGTTTAAGTTGAACACAGTTCACACTGGGCGCTTCCTCCCCGTGTTTCTGGAATTCCAGGCAACAGATTTAACACTTTATGAATCTTGAAGAGCTGCACTACTGCTAAATATTGGAGTTAATGCTGATCTTTTGGAAGCCTCCGAAGGCTACGAGACTGTGATGGGAGCCTCTGGTTTCAGTTGCCTTTCTCACACCTTATTTTAATACTCAAGGTAAACCCATTTGTACAACTTTAGAAATAACTATCAACCTAAGGGAAAAACTGAGGCAAAGTTAATATAAATAGAGAATTTATTTGGGCCAAGTCTCAGGAATGCAACCTGGGAGCATCAATTCAAGTTACCTTTAATTTAATACATGATCTTAGCTGCAGTTTCAAGTGAGTTATTTGGTTGGCCAGGAAGCTCGAACTCTTGGCTTAAAGGGATTGATCCTTCCACCTCTTCCTCCCAAAGTACCGGCATTACAGGCGTGGGCGACTGCACCCGGCTACAAGTGAATTTTTAAAGGAAAAAAGAAAAGAGGCCCTTGCTAAATTGTATGGCAAGAATTTACGTTAAAATAACAACCTATCCATTGGCTATACGTTATTCTTTCTCTCAGGAATTCTAGGAACACGAAGATAATGGGTGATGCTTGTACAGGACAGAAAAGAACAAAGTGCCTTTAAACAATTGCTAGTGTACATGGGGATGGTGCTGACTGAGGTCTCATACTCAGGTCCCTCTGGGCATGATAAATTTTGAATGCCTGGCCAGGCTGGTGGGGTTGCTCACACCTGTAATCTCAGCACTTTGGGAGCCTAAGGGGGAAGGATCTCTTAAGGCCAAGAATTCGAAACCAGCCTCGGTAATATACCGAGAGGCTATCTCTTAAAAATTTTTAAAAATTGGCCGGGCGCGGTGGCTCAAGCCTGTAATCCCAGCACTTTGGGAGGCCGAGACGGGCGGATCACGAGGTCAGGAGATCGAGACCATCCTGGCTAACACGGTGAAACCCCGTCTCTACTAAAAAATACAAAAAACTAGCCGGGCGAGGTGGCGGGCGCCTGTAGTCCCAATTACTCGGGAGTCTGAGGCAGGAGGCGTAAACCCGGGAGGCGGAGCTTGCAGTGAGCTGAGATCCGGCCACTGCGCTCCAGCCTGGGCGACAGAGCGAGACTCCGTCTCAAAAAAAAAAAAAAAAAAAAAAAGAAAATAGAAAAAAAAAAATTTTTTTTAAATTAGCCGGGCGCGGTGATGCGCCACGCAACTGCACTCCAGCCTGGGTAAGAGACTGAGATCCTGTCTCAAAAAATAAAATTAGATAAAGAATAAATCTCGTTTTTATAAAATCCTTTTATAAAAATTAAATAAAAATTAAAATTAAAAAAAAATTTAAATTTTAAATATTAGCTGTGTGATGGGGCAGGCCTGTAGTCCTAGTTACTCAGGAGGCTGGGGTGGGAAGATTGCTTGAGCCTGGAAGTTCAAGGTCACTGTGAGCTATGATTACACCACTGCACTCCAGCCTGGATAAGAGACCCCATATCTTTAATTTAAAAAAAAAATTGAGGGGCCAGGCATGGTAGCTCATGCCTGTAATCCCAGCACTTTGGGAGGGTGATGTGGGAGGATCTCTTTAGTCTAGGAGTTCAAACTCAGCCTGGGCAACATAGTGAGACCCCATCTTTATTTCTTAAATTATTAAATAGAAATAAAAATAAATTGTTCTGTGAGTTACCAGGAATGTAAAAAAAGATTAAAATAAAGTAAATTGTTGCATACTTTTAATATAGCATAGACTGCTCTGAGCTATTTTTCTCCTGTCATAATGAAACACTTTGCCAGTTCATTGGCCCCTCTCAATTCTCCTCAAGATAAGTGTGACTTACGTGTGTTAAGAGATGGGTGGTGTTAGAAAGTGCAGATAAGCACTACATTTTTAAGCAACTGGTCTCACAGAGCCAGGAGTCTGGCTGGGAAAACAGTTAAAGTCTAAGAGTTTGGCTAGAAAAGAATTAGAACATTTAATTAACATTGTGGTAAGTGCTGGGAAGGAGAAGGACAGGGTACTATGAAAAGGTAAAACTGGAGAACCACTTTGCAGATAAGGAAAGAGGCATAGAAGCAGCTCACAGGTGACTGGATTGTTTGTTTAGGTAATGTGTATTGTATAAAACAAATGTCACCTTTTTAAAAATATTGAGCTTTTATTAAGTGCTGGTATTACTCCTATATATCTATTATATATAATATTTTAAATTTCAACAATATTTTGTGGGTTTTTTTTTTTTTTTTTTTGAGATGAAGTCTTGCTCTTGTCACCCAGGCTGGAGTGCAGTGGCACTATAACATCTCACTGTAACCTACCTTACAGTCAAGTGTTGCTCCCACCTCAGCCTCTCAAGTAGCTGGGACTGCAAGCTCACGCTACTGGGACCTGCTAATTTTTCTTTCTTCTTTTTTTTTTTTTTTTTTTTCTTTTTGTTTTTATAGAGCTGTGATATCCCGTGTTGCCCAGGCTGGTCTTGAACTCCTGCTCTCCTGGGCTCAAGCAAGCCTCCCGCCTCTTCCTCCCAAAGTGCTGGGATTACAGGTGTGAGCCTGAATTACAGAGCCTGGCCAACACTTTCAAGTTGATTTTTTAAATTCTTATTTCACCAAAAAAAAGAAAGAAAAGAAGGGAAGGAAAGAAGGGAGGGAGGAAGAGAGGGAGGGAGGGAACAGATGTAGAAAGGCTAAGTAACACTTATAGAAGGCCTTAAGTTTAGGACATACAGTCATGTGCTACTTAATAATGTTCCAGTCAGAAACAGACTGCACATACTACAGTGGCCCCATAAGATTATTTTATCATATTTTTATTGTACCTTTTCCATATTTAGATATACAAATACCATTGTGTTACAATCACCTATAGTATTCAGTACGGTAACATGCAGTTATCTAGCCTAGGAGCAATATGCTCTACCGTATAGCCTAGGTGTGTAGTTGACTATACCATCTAGGTTTCTGTAAATACACTCAATAATGTTTGTACAACAATGAAGTTAGCTAATGATGCATTTCTCAGAACATATCCCAGTCTTTAATGACACATGACTGTACTCCTAATTACCATGTCCCATCTTCCCACTGTCACACATGCATTCAACACAGATTTACTGCTTTCCCATGCTCAGAATGCTTCAGCCTACCCCTTTAGTTTATATCTTAAAACCTAGAGTCCTTTGGATGGCATAAGAGGCACTTCTTGAGCTGACATCTGCCTACCATTGACGCTGAATCCTGAGCAGTTGCCAGAACACACTATGCCCTCCCACATCTGTGCCTTTGCAAAGAACACTCCACTGCCTGTAAAGTCCTTCTCCCTGTCCTTCTAACATATACCCACTCACCCTACTCCGCTGAAGTTTTGGGTCTTCAGGGAAACTTTCCACTTTAGCCTCTCTCTCTACATACACAGCATTTCTCTTTCTAATTGAAGCTGTCTCTAGTCCCCGCTTCTCCTTTTTTTTTTTTTCCGACACAGGGTCTCACTCTGTCACTCAGGCTGGAGTGCAGTGGTGTGCATACAGATCACTGCAGCCTCAACCTCCTGGGCTCAAGAGATGCTCCCACCTCAGCCTCCCAAGAAGCATGGATCGCCACACTGCACCTGGCTAATTTAAAGATATATACATTTTTGTAGAGATGGGATCTTGCCATGTTGACCAGGCTGGTCTTGAACTCCTGTCTCAAGCAGTCCTCCCGCCTCAGTGTGAACCACAGTGCCCAGCCCCTACTTCTTGAAATCATGGGTGACAGCTTGCATAAGTATCCTGAAGTATTTCTTACACAGTATCTTCTAAGGAGACCAACATTTATTTGAGAAGGAAAGCACCTGTTCTTCCCACAGCAGTGGCAGTAGTACATCAACGGTGCACAGCTGAATTGGGACGGGGCCAGGACAAAGCAGAAATCTGCTGCAGAGACCAGGAAAGATAAAGGATGTTCTGTAGCAGGATCTGGGCAAGCAGCACTCATCCATATCCTTTGCATTGCAAACAGAGGAGCTACCTCCTTCCTTTTTATTTTCCAGTTTATTAATGGCTCCTAGAACCTCTGAGAACTAACTGATTTTGACCTCTTAACAGTTGCCTTTCAACTGCCATTCATTCACTGCAAGCCTACTGTGTAAATGGGCCCTGGCTAACCACTTCAGATATATTGTCTCTTGTCCAGCTTCAAGTGACTCTCTAAGGGAGGAATTAGCCCCACCTCACTAGTATGGAAATGGAGACTTGGAGTGATCAAGTGACTTGCTCTGAGTTACACAGCTGGGAAGTGGTGAAGCTGGAATTCAACTCAAGTTATGTCTAGATCTAAAACTCATGCTGTTTTCTATGCTCAAAGCTGCGTTTCAAAACTGAACTTTAGCATGGAGTCTATGATGATTGGCTCGTGTCTTTCCACCCAGCACCTAGCCCAAGGCCAAGCACAGAGAGGGCTCACAGTGGACACTTTTGGAATGAGTAGATTCTGTATGGAATGGTTGGTAAATGAAGGCCT